TACTGCATCAGTTCTCATACAAAGCAAGCTACTTTTAAAGAAATTTATCTATTAAAAAAAAGAAATAAATTAAGGTGCTTTTTTGGTCTGGCCAGCCATCTTGTCTAATATCTCAGATACAAATATAAATACAAGGAATGATAAATAATTTTGTTCTGAGAGTTGGTCTAGCCAGACCAAAATTGTGGTCTGCTGGTAACGTAAGAGGCAATGAAAAGAAAGCTTGTATTATCACTGCCCACAATGTACCCATTTTATGGATAAACAGAAGACTTTAGCACCCGTCAATTATGTTAGCTACTTAAATGTCATAATTAAAAGAAATATAAAACATCGCACCTATATATTTAAATCAGTCATTTAATGTAAACTTTTTAGTAAGTGGTAGGAAAATGCCAGACTAAGTTAACTGAATTATCAATAACTAGACTAACTGTATATGTACATAAAATATACTGTACTTCTATAGGCAGTACTGAGAATAAATAATCATTGCCAATAAATGATTATGGATAAAGAGATTAAGCTGAACTTACATAAAGAACAATGTGTAACTGTATCTGTATGAGTGAAAAAGAAAAAACTTTCTAGATCTTACTGTATATAGTTTACACAGTGGCTCTCACACTTTAGCGTGCATCAGAATCACCTGGAGGGCTTGTTAAAACACAGATTGCTGGGCCCCCACTCCAGAGTTTCTGATTCAGTATGTCTAGGATAGGGCCCCAAAATTTGCATTTCTAAATAGTTTCCAGGTGATACTGATATTGGCTGGTGAGCTGAGGACTGTACTTTGAGAACCACTGGTTTATATATACTATATGTAGAAAACTATATACTATAATGTTCTTATGTACATGACACAAAACACATAGGAAGAGGGCTGGTTTTAATTAACTCTCAAACATACAGATTAGCAAGCTGAACATTTTAATGCTTCTAAAATGATTTGCTGAAGTGTAATCATTTCCCCTTATAGTCAATTACATTTCAAAGTCCTAAGTCCTACTATACAATCATTTTAGAAAATATCCTCATAACACTTATACCAAGCTGGCTATCCAAAATAAAAAGGGACATAAATATTCTAAATAGTTAAGATGTATTCATCAAGAAGGAATCATCACTCAACAGCATTCTTGACTTCTTTGGAATGATTAAAGTGCATAATATCAATAGAGTATTGAGAATATTGCATAAAGGTTTGCAGTCTTCAGTGCCACTAACAATCACAGAAATACTCACACGGGGAAAGCAGCTCTGTATCAAAGCTCCTACTATCCTGACCTATTGCTGATGGCCCTTTCTTTACACACCCCCAACTGTGGTAAGGAGCTGGAACATAGGCAAAATCAACAAAAACCTGAGGGACACTCCATTCAACTGTATCTGGTTGAAAAGAACTACTATCTTAGTTCTGGAGGGACGCAGATATCACTTCTTCACTTACTTTCACACTATTTTTCATAGGCAGATTACTGAGATTCTGATGGGCAAGAAGTGCACTATATGAATTACTTGGCCCTGTAGAGTTAGAAAAACTGACATTACCAGGGTTTACCTAAACTATGTGTTAGAGATTTATTTTCACCATCTAATTAAGATCATAGAAGATGCTTTAAACACTTCTTTCCTGAAATTGAACTACACATATTTTTGTGCATGGAGTCAGATAGTAAAATTTTCATTAGCTTTCAGACAAGACTATTGTTACTTGGTCGAGATGAAGACAAATTTAGTTAATTTATATAAAGCCTAAATAATATTAATTCTGTAATGTTTTACTTACCCTCTCTCGAAGGAACAAGTCTAGTAATGCATCTTTTCTCTTACTCTTATGCCAAAGGGAGTTAGAAACTTATAAAGTTGTTTTCTATGGTGATCAAGAAATGGAAAAAAGAGGGGCCAGCCTGGTGGTGCAGCGGTTAAGTGCATGCGCTCTGCTTTAGCAGCCCGGGGTTCGCAGGTTCGGATCCCAGGCGCGCACTGACACACCGCCTGTAAAGCCATACTGGGGCAGCGTCCCATATAAAGTAGAGCAAGATGGGCAAGGATGTTAGCCCGGGGCCAATCTCCCTCAAGGCAAAAAAGGGGAGGATTGGCATCAGATGTTAGCTCAGGGCTAGTCCTCCCTCATAAAAAAAAAAAAAAAAGAACTGGAGAAAAGAATGACTAAATGGAAAAATTGAAAATTGGGACCTACTAAAATAACGTTTATGTGTTTTTGGCAATAGTGAAAAATGAAATTACAAGAAGGGGGCACTATCATGGTAAAAAGGCACTTTTCCATAAGCATTTAATCTAAATATAAAATACTAATTTAAAAATTTTTCCTGAAAGAGAAAGTGGAGTAAAAACAGAATTTTATTAATAAATGAGCCTAGAATGGCATGAAAATAAATGGGGATTTACGAAGTAATTAGAGCACTGGGGCAATTCACAATTTATATTGTAGGTATTATTCTGATATTTACTACATTATGAACATTATCTCTATGATTTAGTTCTAGTGACACAAATAAGCAGTGGAGAAAACCTCTTTTTAATACATGTTACAAGATTCTACTCACCCACTTACTAGGGCATATACTCTGAGTTATTTTTCTCATAAAGCTGCTGAACTCTACAGTCTCTCTCTTTCATTAAGCCCCTCCATATAACCAAAGGCATACAGATCCAACACGGCTGTCTTGGTTAGGGAGGAAGCCTGTGATCATGAAGCAGAGGAAAGCTAATAGGTCTCATATAATTTTCAGTCAATTAGAAAAAAAAATCAACTAGGAAACAGACATTAGAACAGAAATTTTCACCAGAAAGATGAAAAATTCTCAAATTACTCTAGAGAATATTTATAAACCATATTGAGTTAGAGATTTTGATTATTAAAGCATTTAATTCTGGTCTTTAATTGTTGATGCATCTAAACAGATATCACTTTTCCAAAACATGTGGCTACAATGGCCTAAATGGTCAAAAGGAATTACCTTAGATCTTAGTTCTAGAGGGACTCACTTAACTGCTTTCTCATTTCCTTTGACACTATTTTTCCTAGGCAGATTAACAGAGGTTCTGATGGGCAACAAATGCACTATGATAAATTCCCAACTACAGCATATACAATATTACAAAAAAAAACAAGACAGGCAGGCAGGCCGGTCCCTCATTAATACTGCTTCTGTAATAAACAAAGCCCTTTAAAAACCTGTTCTAGAGAGACTGGCGAAAACAGATTTGCACTGGCTAAATAACAACGTGATTCTCTAATTACAAAGATAACATGATAAAGCTCAGAAGCAAAATATGACTTCTAATTATCTTCTCCCATATTGGTGTGGATATATAATGGAATGACTAAGGAATAAAACACACATACACACACTCACACAGACACAAAGATAAGCTCCAAGCATTAATATGAGTTGCTAAAAGCAAGAACAATTGAAGGTAAGAATATAAAGGAATAAAATGTGGTTCATAGTTTATTTAGGTCCTTCTGCCATATATAAATTTAATAAATTGTTGTTTCCAAGGCCTTTGCTGGCTCACAGATTCTCTGCTATATGTAGCTATAACTTGTAACAGTAATCTGGAAACCACATTATTAGCACAAGTATCAACCACTGACCACTGAGTTAACTCTTCAATAAGAAGACAAATACTTTTTGTAACCAAACTGTATAATCAGAATGCTGTACTTAACATTGATCTTTAGGGGTAAGGAGCATTTAACAATGTTAAAAAAAACCCATCATTATTGAATAAGAATGTGGTAGCATAGCACAGCCCTTGTATAAATAACCACAAAATTTTTGAAAATAAAAATCGGGTTTTCTGCCTCCATCCAATCCAACCACTACAGTTCAGGTGTATGTTCTGTTCTAAATTTAGATATTATAAAACAGAAAATTGGTCCCTGATGACTTGGCATCGGCAATCAGCATTTTTAAAATGATAAACCTCTTGCTAAACAACAGAACAGAAGCCAGCACACAAGCCAGTCTTCTTGCCCCCACTTCATCCACAGAGCAGTGTTAAACAAACATTCTAACTGGAACTTGGTGAACAAAGAGACTTTCTGAGTCTTCTGTGTAATCTCTTAGAAAAAAATTCAGAAAACTCAGAAATAAACTTACAGTATTTTATTCCTACTTTTTATTTTTATACCTGCTGGGTAAGCTTCTGACATTAGTCGACCCTCTGTAGTTAGATTTTTACATTTTAAAACCGAAGCACTGAATTGTGTGGTTGGTCCTTCTCATAACCTGAACTCTACTGGGCAATTTTTCCTGACAGGGGTGGGGAGAGAAGAGATATATTGAGAAAAATGCTTTTGGTTCAGAGAATTTATAAAGTAGCTCTGGATATTACAAGATGGGGAAAACATTAAAATTACAAACAGGTTTTTTTTTTAGTGTCTTTATAAATAAAAGGCATAGAATACAGAAAGCCAATTAATAATAACAATAACAACAATAATAAAATATTAAATATATAGTGAGCAAAGACTGAACGGCTCATTCTTGTGAAACACCATTTGACACAATCGCCTAGATGGGTTTCCTTACTCTAAGATTTTGCTGAGTGAAAGATCCAGCAAACACACAGTAAGCTGCCTTTAGCTCACTAATAACATCAAGGAACTGCCTGATGGAATGGCCACAGATGAACAGGTCATTTGTTTCAAAAGATACTTAAATACTCAATAAAGACATAACAAACCCCCCCTCACTGTTATCAGACGCCACGTTGTGGTAGAACATCAGACAAACTCACAAATTTACCACAAAAACGTGTGGCAAAAAAAGAATAGTTTATATATATGTATATATATAAATTTCTATATTTATGCCAATGTACTCACTCAGTACAAATAGCAAAATAGTATACCATTTCCTAAATACAAAATATAGCTTTCCAAAAAAATGAAACACACATTAGATATAAACCATCCAAAACTTGAACGATTGAAAACTGTATTCAAAATTAAATGACCCAGAGTAGGTCTCTTTCTGAAAAGTTCCCTTCATATCGGCAAGAAGCCTGTACTACTGAAAACGTAATTCAATGCCTCTCAATCAGAGAGAGAAAGAAAGGGCTGGGAGTGGAGGGAAGAATAGATGAGAACAAAGAGAAAAAACAAATTAAAAGGAGAACACATTCAAAGAACCAAGGAAGACCATCACAAAAAAGGGGGAAAAATCTGGCTGTATAAACAAAACCAATACCACAATTCCACAAAGTTCAACTAAATATATAGGATAGAAAAATAAAAATAAAAAAACAAACAGAAAAGTAGCCTTCAACAAACAATTAACAGGCTATTTTTTGTACACTTACAAAATAAATGAAATGGACAAGAATACCAAAACTTCTTATCTACATATAGAAGCCACACACAATTTGGCCTTAAACTGTATTGACAGCTTTCTACATGCCAAAAGGAAAACAAGACATAAGCATGTGTCCAGACAACAGGTTGTAGTGAGAAGCAGGCATCCCATGGGTGGCAAGAACACCCAAAACTTTGTAACTAATGCTACAACTGCAAGTTCTGGAGTGTGTTATTTTGCTCTCTATAGATGTAACACAAGTTAACTCTTCATTTTAAGTCAATGATATGACCCTGTAAAGCCTAAGGCTTGTGGGAACCATCAGATAAGTGACCACTTCAAACTGTAAAGCACTGAGGTGACAAGTGAATTACACTCACTGCAGCTCAGGGAGAAGTGCTGTTTCAAGAAATTTTACTTTGAATTTTTTTTTTTAACTTAAAATTTACACTGTTTCTTATTAGAGGGAAAAATTTGAAGACTTCAGAACAGCACCGTTCGTGGAAAAAAATGCATTGCTTCTTGTTTCTCAGGAATCAGCTCCCCTCATTCCTGAAAGGGCACTCCCTCCCCGCTCCGTCCCCACCTGTGCTGCAGGAGTTGCTGGGTTACCACCCCAGATCAAAGTGGCCTTTTTCTTTAAGTTGCTACAGGGTCACAAAGCTAGTAGTATATTACTAATTGTCTAAAATAAAGTGAAAAGGAGGGGAAGAAGAATATAGATGAATATAAAAAGGGAACGCTGGCCCAAGATTGGGTTAAGAATAAAACAGACTCAAATTACTGTCAGTTTAAACTATTGTAGGAGAATATCAGAACATAATTTACCACATATTATCCCCTTCATTTTTTATAGAGCAAGATAACTATTTTTCTATGCACAGTTATGGCTAAACCCCTTAACAGAGATACAGAGAACCAACAACTCTGAAAAATAAAAACATAGCATTCCAGCTGTTCCCAGTTTGTGTGTTGTCTGCCTTTGTGATAAACAAAGAGGCCTCTTATCTGTGTAGAGCTCTTAATACAGCTTACTTGTCAGAATGTTACCCCTTCAGTTTCTCCATAAAAACTGAAAAAAATATTCCCTCTCTTTGGCCAACAGCTGTGCTTTTTATATTGAAAAATCACAGCCTTAGTTATTATTTGAACTTTCCTTTTTCAAAAGCCTTACTTGACTAGACCAACGCAGGAAAGAAAATAGTGAAGAACAAAAGTAAACATGACAATATGAATTATTTCCTAATAGCAATAATAACTGAGCAGTCCAGCTTTTGAATTTAAACTGAACTTTTAAAGAAATAGTGCCTAGGAAAATAGCAACAATTAATTCTGTCAGCTGGAAACTCAAATAGATTCTCAGTCATCACTGTTATTAGGAATATAAAATATGAAGATGTTAATCATGGTGGCTAATCACTGCAACAGGCAGCATAGGTGTGCTCTTTTGCAGTCAGAGTAAAATCTGTCCATTTACTCAATCACAGTTGTTCATATTTTGTTTTGTTTTTAAAGTAACAGTTCAATAATCCTCATGAAATCACAAGATCTCAGGACATCTTGGAATCAGGATTTTCTTCATGGAATTTCTAAAAAAAAAAGAAGAGGTTTAATATAATTCACTACAGAGGGAAAACATTAATAAAGTTCCTGTCACCCTGAATGATCCCCAAGTATATTGCAGTATTATAAATGTTACTTTATCATATTTATACTTCCACAGACTTCTCTGACTCAATATTTATTCCTTGAGGAAGGGAGAAATAAGATATAAATATATCTAATATATAGTATATTCATCAGATGTTCTGTCATTCCAAAGCAAAGAAGCTTAGAGCCAGAAGGAATGCCCAGTATTAACAATATAACCATAAGCTATCATTCAGAGTAATTTATTCAGAGTAGAAAAGTACAATCTTGTGAGAAAGCCATTATTTTAAAAGATCAGAGCCTAAACAGTGTTATTACCTAACCCAAATCTGTTAAGAATAATAAAATTTATGGATGCTTTTTCAATAAGAAGCCAAAATGCAATACTTACATATCCAGTTAAAAGGAGCCAGTCAAGTTGTTCCCTTGGTTTTGCAACGAAACAAGCAAATCCATCTTTTCAATGTTCTGGTTGGTGTTTATAGAGGATGCCAGTGGAGAATTCTCTGGCATTTGCTGAGAAAGAAGTGTTGTCACAGGTGGCTGGCCCTCATTTTGTGGTTGGCCTGGCTGACTTATGGCCATCAACTGATCTGGCAATGTAGCTGGTCCAGAAGTTAAAAGCTGACTACAGTCTGCAGAGACATTCATAAAATAGAGAAGCTACCTGATTAGTTACTCTCTGTTAAGATTCGTAAAAAGATATTTATTAGTTGCTGGGGGAAATTCATTATTGTGTTCACTCAATATAGAACTAAAAGTGAGGTACCTGACAGCCCTCAAAAAAGGTTTTCACCAAACAGTACTGGAATTCATCTTAGGTTTCCTCTAAGCAGTATAAAAATATAACTTTGCTTAGTTATCATAATAAGTCCTATATAATTTCCTTGATATATAAACATTAAAAATGGGTTTCTACCTCCTTGGAGACTGCTTACTTTAATTGGCTGAGATATTTTCTGTCATTCTTACTTCATTTTGCTTTCAAGTTTATAGCTTAAAATGGTAAACACATACCTTTATATACATTATCACATTTAATCTTCCCAATATCCTTGTCAAGTAATATTACCACCATTTTAGATGTGGAAATTGAGGCTTATGCAGGTCAAATAACTTGTCCAAGATCTCAGAGTCTATAAGTGGTATAGCTGGGACGTGAACTCAGTTCTAACTATAATCTCTGCTCTTAAAACCACTGTGTTTTGCTTCCTTCTAATAATAATAATAATAATAATAATAATAATAATAATAATCTGACCATTTCAACCAATAAAATTTAAGAAATGAGAAATTAGAGTTTCTTACTATTTTGAATGCCAAATAAGAACATTCCTGAAGTCTGTTGAGATGAGCCAGGAGAACTCTGTAATTGGTTCATTGTGCCTCCTGTAGTGTTGTGAAATAAAGTAGCCTGTGGTTGAGGGGAAGATGTGGCTCCTTGGATTCCAGGCATATTGTTCTGAGGGGAATAAAGAGGAGACTGTTGCATGTCTTGTTGGTTTATACTGGTCTGCAATGCAGACATGGATGCTGGAGAGAGGAAGAGCGTTACTTGCTGCTCTTGAGAACTGGGTGACCCTTGAACCAACTGAATCTGAGGAGAGCTATGGAATAAGGAGGTCTGTGATGATTCAGATTGGGTAGGACCTGGGTTCTGAAGTGAAGAAACTGTGGGTTGGTTCTGAAATTGCATGGGCTGCTGCTCTTGATTCATTGGGGCCATATTATTTTGTTGGTGAAAAATTGACTGGTTCTGTTGCTCCTGATTAGCCATTGGATTTTGACTTGGATTGAATATCATATTTGGTGGTGGTTGCTTTTGAGATGCCATTGTAGCCATGGTATTCTGATTACTGAATAAAATGCTCTGCTGTTGCTGCTGTTGTTGCTGCTGCTGTTGCTGCTGCTGTTGCTGCTGCTCCTGGGATGGAGAGTTACTCTGGATGGCAACTATTGAGTGCTGTGACTGGAATATTGTTCCTTGTTGGTTTTGAGGCATTGGATTAGGAGGAAGCGAGCCCAGGGACACCTGAGGCTGAAAAAGACCTTGCTGGGAGGGTTGTGCCTGTTCTTGGGAAAGCATAGGGGTCTGGATGTGTGATATTGGAGACTGCTGTTGGAATGCAGCTTGCTGTTCAGTGTTTGACGTTGACTGAAGTGGAGAAATTGAGTTCTGAGCCGCAAAAAATGAAATCTGTTCTTCTTGGGCTACTGTGTTAGTTTGAAGATTATTCATTGGACTCTGAGAAAGAAATATGTTGGCTGACTGCTGGTCTTGAGGAACAGTAGAGCCCTGTAGCACAGCCATGGTACTTTGAGAGTGAAACATTGGAGGCTGCATTTGTTCAGAGGAAGTTGTAGAAGTCTGACTATGAACAATAGGACTTGGATTATGAAAAATAGAACCTTGAGTTTCCTGGGAAAGGTTCTGAGCATCAGCAATAGGATTTTGAGGATGAAAAAGCTGAGTCTGTGAATGAGAAGACTGCTGCAAAAAATTCCCAGATTGGAGTGACATCATCTCATTACTTTGCTGGAATAAACCATTACCTTGTTGCTGGCTACCACTATTCTGAACACTCATCATACTCTTTGTAGATGAAAAAAGGTTAACTTGAGGTTGATTGTCTCCACTATGTTGCATTTGGACCATGGTCTGAAAGACACTGTTCTGAATCTGTTTTGCTTGTGCTCCAGTTTCTTCTCCATCTCCTGAACCTGATGTCTGAAACATGGTAGTGCCAGGGTTTGCAACCTGCTGTGTGGTGGTTGTAGTAGTTTCATTTCCAGAAACTGCAGGAGGAGAAGAAAACAATTCACATTGCATTTGCATGTCCTCATTGGTAGATAATGCACTCATCATATGAGAAGTCTGCTGGTAAACTGGAGATTGCTGAAGGTTTCCATTTGCTGAAGCAGTTGAAGGAAATAACTCTGACTGAATCTGGGCAGCTGCCTGACAGATACTCTGTTGCATCTCCATCACCATTGCAGCTGATGATTCCATCACTTGCTGTTGCTGCTGCTGCTGTTGTTGATTAGATAACGTGTTTTCAGTCTGTGGGTGAACACTTTCAGCTCTTCCAGCTATTAAATTATCTGGTCTGGTATGGACTGCTGGTTCTGTTGAGGAAAACATTCCAGGGCTTACGCTATTTTGAATTTGACTGACTTGTTGAAAAATGTCTGCACTAAGCCGTTCTTGAACATTCTCATTACCATCTGGAGCAGAAAACAAAACTGAAGATAACTGTTGTTGTGCCTCTAAAACTTGTTGGACCAAATCAACATTTCCACTGCTGCCACTAGCAGTACTGCCTGTAAAACTTCCTGCTTGCAACTGCTGAATTGTACTCTGCAGCTGACTCACACCATTTGGTGATGGAAAAATATTTGATGAGATCTGCTGCTGTAAAGTCTGCGCTTGTTCTTGTAGTGGTGACTGCTGCTGTTGCTGTGATGCCTCAGTCAGGTGTGACAAATTAACCACTGTACCATCTGACTGTAATACCTCTCTAGATTGAGCTTCTCTTGTCTGAAACTGTGTAGCCTGCTGCAGTAGTGCATCACTGTTGGGCAGCTGACTAGAAGCAGAAACTGCTGGAAAGGTACCAGGCTGTGAAATGTCCTGTGTTTGGATAGTTGTCAGGGTCTCTGGGTTGTATGCCTTGGGCTGAATCTGCTGTTGCGTTTCATTTTCAGAAGGTAAATGGGAAGATGATGATGATGAAAAAGACCCATTTCCTGCTATGTTAGAGATATTTTCTAATGTTTGTTGAGTTGATCCAACTGTCTTTGTAGTCTAAAAAATAAAAATCCCCAAATAATATGTATATATAAACATTAAATGAGCTCATACATTTATCCTCAAAAATTATTATTCTAAAAACATATGCATAGGCAGGACCAATTTTCCACTCTATATTATTATTTGGAAAACAGGTATAAGACTATTATTCTCAGTGATGACATGATGTCTGATTGTCATCAGGATATTTTTAAATAAGTATTATAAGCAAAGATTGTCAAATAAGGAAGTAGAAGAATAATTAGCTATTGATAACACTTAGGTCACTAAGAACACATTAATCCTATGGTTCATGAATTAACAGCAAATTTAAACATATCTCCATTTTATGGATCATTGGTAACAGGGGGAAATAGGAGGTATGGGAGGAAAACAAGTGAAAAAGAGAAAGGGAGTTATAGCAAAAGACAGGAGAAGAAAAAGAAATAAAAATGTCTCTAATTCTAAAATGCTAAACCAGTACTTTCATTAATACTCCATATATCCCACAGGTCTAGCTAACATGTTAATTCCTCCTTTGTCAAAACAGATATTGAAAGTCACTTTGCAGGCTATTTTATTGGGCTATAAAAGCATTCACTCTGAAAGCAAAATTTATTAAGTGCATTCAAAGAGGAACAAATGTGAAAGAAATAGGAAAAGTAAAAAGCATAAACATGGGGAAAAGAAATCAAATTACTCAAAATATAGCAATTTTTATATTTGAGGTTAAGTTGTGGGGCACCATCAATGCAGCTCACCTTAAAAATAGGAGAAGATCTTTTTTCTGCTGTTACTTCCATTGGAGTAACATCTTCACTCTTAATCATACTGCTTGATATGAGTGGAGTGATCAGAGCATTAGGAAGAATATTTACCTTATCTAAGTTACATCCAGTAGTTTTCATCACTGCACATAGACACAAAAAAGAAAGAAAAGTCTAAAATCTTCAACTATTTCATTCTATAGTGTGTTGACTATTTGTCGTGATTTAAATGTCTATTTTTTGATGCTATGATGGTAGCATGAGATACAAAACCGGTGTATCAAAATGTGCCCTCCCTTTTTTGAAGCAGCATTGGCTTGAGGACTCCTGGTATGAGCCTGAGACTGGAGGTTAAATATCAACAAGCGTAAGCAGTTCAGTTACTCAAGTGCCTTGAATTACACTGCTCAATATGATCAGGATATGTTATAGGATACAGCCTGGAAATCTCCGGGAGGTTAAAGCTATTCAATTACAACTGTTACACTCTGCTCTTAGCATACAGCTGCCTGGCAGTTCAAGTCAAAACTTTTTAAGAGCCATAGGATTGTCTGAACATTTCTCTCAACAAAACTCAAGCTTCTCATTAGAAAATACCACCAAGTAACCAAATAAGATTTTGCTTTTCTAAATTACTTAGAAAGCTTGAATTTGCCAAGTTGACACATGAACACATTTCTCTTTTAGAGAAGACTTAAATTTTTTTCTTCTCAGAAATTTAAGGACTATTTTAGGTTTACCAATTAAATTTCCAAAGCAAAACCAGCAAGTATTTTCCACTTCCTTCTACTCCCATTTTCAGTAGTAGTTATAGATTTACACCAAAGAGAGGCAATATATAGCAGATCAGGTAGGTTCTACCACTTCATTATATCCACTTTTTCCCCTTGATTTCTTTTCTTTCTTTTTTTTTGTCTATTTGAGTCTGCCACTGACGCTTCACTGATATCACTAATGAAGGTCTTCTGAATTGAACACAAAGCCAAATTTTGATCTAAAAGTTTACCACTACTTTGAGACTCTATGGAGAGAAATATAGATTCCTCAGAAGTCATAGCTGTTAAATTCCTTAATTTGATACCGAGAAGAAATCCTGGCTACAAAAAGGATTTTTAAATGGTGTACGATATATGAGTAGGATAGCTACCTTTGTAAATATTTTGATTTAAAAATATTTGCAACTTTCTGGTCTTATTTCAACTTATAGCCAGTTGGCTAGAAACAATTCCTGTGGAAATTGATTACATTGAGGGAAGGGAAAGTGCTTATTTAACCTTTGATCTTCTATGCTTTATTACTCTGAGAAATGGATCATTTACTCACGAATTCTCTGGGCCTATTTTCACCTTGATTCTACCAACACCAGCACAACTCAACTCACAGTCCAATTTTGACTGAGACAAAACTTCAGATCATGCACAGGGCAGGCATGTAGAAGTATTCTAGGCCTGTCTCACAGGACAATTGGAAAGACCATTAGTGTTGTCTTAAGTTGATCCTGTAATATTCAACTGTTATTCTTGCTTTTGAATTCTGCTAGAACGTGAGCTCCCTGAAGGCAGAGATTTTGTTGTTGTTGCCTGGTGCATAGTAGGTAATCAATAAATATTTGTTGAATGAATGAAGAAATGAATGAATTAATCTTACTTTACCTTTATCATAGTCAATTTAGTTTGCTGTGGATTGTTTGGCTAATCTTATAGTTCAGTGTTGCATATTTTCATTAATAGTATTTCTGGTCTAAAAATTTTCAATATCTAAAGACAAGTTTATATTACAGTTCAATTAGAAACTGCATATAAATATCCATTGACAAATAAATGCATCACCTACACAGTCAAATGCTTAACAGATCTATATACAATTTCCCCCCACATTTATTTAGAGAATAGTTCTTATCATAGTTTTTTCCCCCTCCGGAAAGTGAGAATAGGTGGAATAAGTTGAGCAAGAGTCTTTTACTCCTCCTAAGGAGACCAGTGACAAATAGGTATGTCTGTTGGTGTAGACAAACAAGAGAAGGACATTTTGTCTAATGCCCACGCAAAGATATAAATCTTTCTGTAGCCATATGCACAAAGTCTTTCTATGTCAAATGACAATTTACTTTTCTGAGGCTTATTCTGGTCTGCCTGTTGTGCTAGTTCTGCATGTGCTCCAGCTGGAATCCTGCTGGTGTGGCCTGCAGGGATGAAAGATGCTTCCCTGGGCTGCCTGATGTCATCAGGTGAGGGTGAAGGATACCAGATCTGCAGGAGGGAAAATATTTCTCCTGGTATGTTCTCTGGTCTTTTGGTACTAACGAGCTTTCCATTCTATCTCTGCTGGTACTGCTGGTGGTAGGGAAGCACCTACACGGGCTGCCTTCTGCCACCAGGTAGAGGTTTGGGAGATTCTGGGTCTGGTTCACCTTCTGCCCCTGGATCCACCTTGGGTCACTGGGTGGAGGACTGGGAGACACTTGGGCTGGATCTTCCTCTGCTTTTAGGTGGAAAGCCAGGAGCTGCCAGGTCTGGGTCTCCCTCTGCTGTTGGAGGAAGGATAGGGAGACACAGGGCCTGCTGGCACCACCACTGCAGGTGGAGGGACCTGTGTGCTGCTGCCTGGCGTAGGGTAGGGGATGGGTCGGTCCCCTGGGTTCTGCTATTGCAACTTCTGCAGATAGACTGACCTGCTGCTGCTGGCATATGTGAGGCCTGTGTTTTGGCCCTCCTGAGTTCCACTGTTGGCAGATCGGGCCCACTGCTATTTGGCAGGTGTGGGGCACGGGGTGGACTGACCCTCTCAAGTTCTGCTGTTGCTACTGCAGTTGTGTGTGGGAGATGAGTTGGCCCCCAAATTCTGCTAGTGGCTCAGCTATTGTTACTAGGTACGAGTCATCCTACTAAATCTCTGCTAGGCTTTCCCTTTCCTGGTCTTTTGGTCAGAGAGAGCAGGTTTTCATGCTTATTTATTGATTCATTTTTTGTCTATGCCTGTTACCAGTCTGAGTTGCAGGCCTCTCTGGTGCCCAATTCAGATAAATGGGAGATAAAAAGAAAACTCATGGTGGTGTTCTTCAAGTTCTGAGGTCCCTAGCCAGTCCACTTTCTTCTTTCCTTATTTCAAAGCCCTTTTATGATTGTTGAATGTTTCCAAGGCAATTAGTAGATTTAGAAAGGAGGAACAGGGAAAAGCAAGTCTACACTGTCTTGTCCTAGCACCCACAACTGTATCTTAATGGACTTGTAAACAATATTAAATGGCTTAAGAGATGTCACCCTATCTTTTCTTCCTACATTTTCACTATGTATTTATTGAGCCCTTACAAAGTTCTAGGCACTGTTCTAGGTTCTGGGGATAAAGCGATGAATAAGATGGATAAAGCCCTACTACCTGGGAATTACATTTTAGTGAAGGAAGAGAAAAATACAAACAGGTGAAGACTATGTACTACCTAAGGGTTGGGGGAGAACTTTTAAGCCAATTCAGAAAATCCAGAAAGTAAAAAAGATAGATATATTTAACCATTCCATTATCAATTTGAATTTGTGAAGAATATTGGTATTGATAGTTTATGCCAAACAACTTTTAAACAGTATTCTACCTGTGTCAAACAATAACAACTTTTGAAACTTAGAACAATCTTTACTATAGTTTGTTGTCAGCAGCAGCATTTAGGTCACTTGACCTAATATATATTTTATATATATATATATGACCAAACAAATATATTTGGTTAAAATATGAATCAAGATTTACAGGGAAGGAAATAATGGAGTGAAAAGAATATAGAGTTTGTGGGGAAATTTAAGCTGCAACCTGTCAGTTACTAGCTGTGTGACTGTGAGCAAATCCCTTAACTTCTCTAAACCTTGTTATATTCACTTGTAAAATGAGATGGAACTAGATTATCTCTATGGTTCCTCCAAGCTTCTAAACCTTTCCATATAGTTGCAACCAGTCAGAGAAAATCTCAACTAGTTTTCACACTCATCCAATTAACCACTCCTTATAAAGCTGAAACTGAGAATGCACATCAATACTTTAACTCTGGGTCTTAAACCTGCATGACAGAGTCTTTGAGCCATCTATCTAGAGTTTGCACTCATATCTACCTGAACCTATAAAGATATAGAAAACTTTCTGGAAATATTCCCAAGAAACTATTAACAACAGTTTACATTGTACACTTATCATTTAATTTGTATTACTTTTGTGTTAGGGATATATATACAGTTGGGTAAAACTGGAAAAGAATCATGATGCTCTAGCACTGAACTTAATATCTCATTAAGTAGTTGTGCAGTTATCCTCCTTACTCCCGACCCTCCCAAACTCTCTCCAAGGAATCAGAAACTTACTTCAAAGTGAAAGCTTTCAGTATCTGGCCATAATATCATATTTGGGTATCAAGTTCTAAATCTTATCATAATTGATCGCTATCTATAAGAATGTTACTTGGAGGATTATTGCCATAACACAAATTTAAAAGTCTTTTATGTTGCTCAGTCTTCATCTTTGAAGTATACCTAGGGGTCAGCCCTGTGGCGTAGTGGTTAAGTTCAGCATGCTCCGCTTTGGCGGCCCAGGTTCATGGGTTTGGATCCCGGGCACAGACCTACACCACTTGTCAGCCATGTTGTGGCGGTGATCCATATACAAAATAGAGGAAGACTGGCACAGATTTTAGCTCAGGGCTAATCTTCCTCAAGCAAAAAAAGAGGAGGATTGGCAACAGATGTTAGCTCAGGGCAAATCTTCCTCAGCAAAAAAAAAAAAAAAAAAAAGTATACCTAATTAAATCTCCCAGACGGCACCGTGGCATTATACTAAAGCTCTGATTTCAAGGAATCATAAAAATAAGCCATTTGTCAAGGAAAATTCCTGGTTCTGAAAGCTATTGCTTTTTTTTAATTGATCAGGATTCTCCAATTAATGATACTGTGTTTAAAATGACAAATAAAAAAATTAAAATAAGGTAGTTCAGTATTCAATTTAATATCTTCATAAAATTATTTTTACCATGATTTCAGTGGAGAAATTTCTCAAAATAAGAAAGTTTGAATTGTGAAAAATAATAATATGTATATGTGTGTTTGTTTCTTACCCATTTTTTTAGGCTTGTAAGATTCTGATCAAATGACTAAATCATTTTATTACTAAAAATTAAACATAGCCTTTAAAATCTTTCAACCTTCAATTCATAATCTTGTATGAGAAATTTCACACTGGATTAGATTAGTATTCCACCAGCTTGATACTCTATGAAAAGAGCATCAAGGAATTTTTGGAGAAAAGCACAGATGCTTCCAAGTTAGCAAAGGAGAGACCACAAATGTCCCTGATTTTCTTTAATGATTAATTAATTATGGTATTATTCATCTACTAAACATGGTTTGAATTGTTTTTGCTTAGATGTGTTACCTTACACACTGAAGCTCAATCTATCCTTTTTTAATCCTAGCTAAATGACCTTGGGCAAATTATTTATTTATTTATTATTATTATTTTTTTTTGTGAGGAAGATCAGCCCTGAGCTAACATCCATGCCAATCGTCCTCTTTTTGCTGAGGAAGACCGGCCCTGAGCTAACATCTATTGCCAATCCTCCTCCTTTTTTTCTCTCTTTCTCCCCAAAGCCCCAGTAGATAGTTGTATGTCATAGTTGCGCATCCTTCTAGTTGCTGTATGTGGGACACCACCTCAGCATGGCCGGACAAGCGGTGTGTCAGTGCGCGCCTGGGATCCAAACCCGGGCCACCAGTTGCGGAGCTAAGCCACGGGGCCGGCCCCTAGGCAAATTATTTAACCTCGCTGGAACCTTGGTTTCTTCATCTATGAAATAAGAATGATAAATTACCTACTTCATAGAGCTTGAAAGATTAAATGAGATAATGCCAGTAAAGAGTGTGGCATATTACCCAGCACTTAATATACGGTCAATAAACATTAGCTATGGTTATCCATAGCACAGATTTGTAAATTTTCCTGTAGTTGAATCAGATCATCTTGGTAGTTTACTTACGACTGCATAATTCCTCACTAATTTACTCTGGATAGTGTTCATGGTTAGAAATTACAATGACAAGCTACAGTGAACACATTATATATGTGACTGCTGAATTTTACTATTGACAATAGGAAAAAAACACTGTATTTGATAAAATTTATTAAGTGTATTATGCCCCTTAAAAACATAAGTATTTTTAATTTTTAAATTTAATTTGATTTAACTCAGAAGAAAGAATGATAATTAAAGAAACTGAAGCAACTTTTTCAAATGTCTATATTTCATATTTTGGTCTCTTTAGTCTCAACGTCAAGTACTAATCTTATTGGTAACAAGAAGCTTTATAGACTCTACTTTGTATACATTATATACACTTTTAAGATTTTTAATATTGGGGAATGAAAAACAAGACAGAAGAAAAAACTCCTCCATTCCAACATATGTTAAAGAAAAGCTGTTTATATGGTGAATGAAGGGAAATACCAAATTGGGAAACAAGTTTCTACCTTCAGTAAAGTTAAACAAATATTTATTTTACAATACAGAAGATAACCCTGCTAAGTGTTCCAAGTATATAAGGGAAAACAAAATAGTAAGGTTTGCTAGAGAAACCATATAGGATCACCCATTTACAATTTTTGAGAAGAATTAACTTGGTACCTTTCATAGCCTCTTCAAAAGAGCAAGGTCTCGCCGGACTAGATATTTCCTTCTTCACATTTACATTCAAAGCACTAGCTGCTGCTATTAAAACAAACAAAAAAAGATTAATGTATCTATTTAAACTTATTCATCCTAACAAAATATGGATCCTGAAATTCTTTAATTGGAATATTTTCTCACAAAGCATCATTAAATTATTTGTTTAGCAGAAATTCTAGGTTGAAATGAGTTTTTATAACCACCAGTCTATGCTCTAATATTTACCAATCTCCAAGTAGGCAGAAGCATATGCTCACTTATCAAAACAAAACAAAAACAACAGCAACTTTTAAAAAATCCTTATTGTAACAGTACACACACAGATGATATCTGAGTAGAAGATTAATATGACTTTTTAAACTTATCAAATATACTGTAACACTAGCATGAAAAAAAATTCACCATTCACTTACATAAATGATTTATTAAATAAATACTGATTCAGAAACATTAGTCAATTAATTCAGCTAAATTTAAAAAACTGTGATGAATATACAGAATCTATAACATTATGATTATTCTTTTTGTAAAGCATTGGAAAAAATAAACTTTGCTATTATTAATGGAGAATTCTTGGGCTATTATATCTAATTTATCTTATATCATATCAACTATAGTCACATGCCACATAACAATGTTTTGGTCAATGATGGACCACATATACGACAGTGGTCCCATAAGATTAGTACCATATAGCCTAGGTGTGTAGTAGGCTAATACCATCTAGGTTTGTGTAAGTACACTCTATGATGTTTGCGCAATGACAAAATCACCTAATGATGCATTTCTGAGAACATATCCCTGTTGCTAAGTGATGTATGACTCTACATCTACTATGACAACTTTAAATTTAATGAGCCTAAGAATAGAGATCAGTTCTGAATGATAAAGTTAAATAAATTCCAAATAAACAGGTTCTTGCTTTAAACGACTGTATAATTTTATTTAAATAGATTTTAATTTCTATTTTCCAATATATTTATTGTATATTCCCTAACTTTATTCAAAATGGAAACTGAGTCAGCTTATTTTCAATATCTTATTCTTGACACGACAATGTGAAATGATAGTTACAAAGAGACGATAAAGAGATAGTTAATTGTGAGTAAAGAGACAAAATGTACAAATCTCCTAAAAGTAAAGTTAAATGATTTATCTTAGCATGCTGCACAGGAGGTCCAATGAATGATATATAGGAAATTGAATGGAAAAGAAATCTATATATGATTTTTAAGCATAACATTAATTCTAACAATTACAGATTTAAAAATAGAAACTAATCTTTGAAAAAATTTTAAATTTCTACTTTTAAATCAAGTTTTAGTCATTCATTTTTAGAGCAACAAAAAAATATGAATATGAATTTCTTACAGGAATCACTACAGAGTCACTGCAAAAAATACACAATGTGATTTCTGTGTCTTAATACACTGAAGTAAAAAAAATTAAAGGTGCTTTAATGGTTAAGCAAAGCTTCAGAGACTAACTGGCAATGAAACATAGGTTTTATGACACTGCAAAGTGCATGACAGCATGTAAACGTGATGTATTTTGGGCAGTACAGACCCAGAGGGCATTAGAGGGGCTTGTGTCTGGCAGAACACGCAGAGCCAGTTTATGTTCACTTGAGCCCTTGCGCTGGTCCTACTTTTAAGACCATGTACCAGGTACCCAAGATCTCAAAATTTCTTGTACAACTACTCCAGACTATGTGTGCAGTCTTAGGCCTATAGGCTGGACAGAGCTTGGAAGCACTGGTTAGTGCCTCAAGGCCCTCCAGGTGTAGGATGGAGCCAGGAGTGGGAAAGAAGGGTGGCAGGCTGGGGATCCTCTTTTCTTATGTTGCCATATTCCAGCTTGGAATTCCAAGCGGTCTGAAAATCCTAAATTCAAATCTGGCCTTCCAGGTATCTTGGTCAAATTAAGAGGACAGGATATATTTTATTTAATGATTTGTTAGTTTTATTTATAACTTTTAAATATTTAGACAAATGGTATAACAGTTGCCATTTCTACTCTGACTTGAGAGTGTTAGGGTGGGTCTAGTTTTAGCCGTTATAATCATACACCATTGAATATTCAAATGTTTAACCACAGCCCCCAGATGAATGATAATGAGATACTGCAAATTTTCTATAACCATGTTTTTCTGAAATCATATTCTCTCTCATCTACACCTGAAAAGATGATTACATTTTATAAAATACAAAAAAGTGAAATCACGGGACGATTCTTTAACTAGCTACATCATAAAGGCAGAAACCTAAGCATTGGATCTTATTACAAAGTCTGCATACTATGTGTTTATTCAATTAAGAGTTTCTGAGAATGACTGCTATCTATGCTATACAAAATACGTGGGCGAAAAACTTAAAAGAATAAACATACGTTAATGATTGCCTAAATGTGGCCAAATATAGCCAATTAGTATGGGCTTTAAAGCAGAAGACTTAAAAGCTGTTTTATTTGGCAATTTATCAAAGGGAAATTTCTTTTTTTTTTTTTCTTGGAAATTTCTAATAATCAGCATTTATCACTAAGAAATGAGGATTCTTAGTGCTGATGCTAAATACTTCAAAGTCCTTAAGTTTTTTATAATTAATCAATAAAGACAAACAAGTAAGAACAAAAACTGAGTATCTTCAGGATAGCAAAAACTTTAAGACTATTCCCTGACACACACTTATACCTCCCTCTTCCCTTCCCATACAAATGATATAGAAGCTCACTAGGAAAAAAGTTCTTATGTATTAATTATGCCATCTTTCTCCCCACATGAGCAAGCTCCTCCTTACGCAAAATATAAAATGTCAATATTTAGTAACTAACAGTTACTAAAATGCTTTAACTACCATTAGTTTTAAATTAAACTTTCTTGGATTTTTGAGCCTTTCCTAGTGAGAAAACAATCAAGTATTTTGTCTTTGAGTATAAACCAATCTTCTCTTTCCTATTTTTGTTGAAGTCAGTATATTATTTCTAAATTTTGCCTTTTTCTGTCTGAAATTTCTACTTGTGATCTTTTAGTCTGAGACAAATAATAAGAGGATTTCATTAGTGCTATACTGTGTCATACTTTTGTAGCAAACTGGTGGAAAATAACCAATGTTGTGAAATTCAGACATGATTTAAAAAAAAAGGGAACAGATACATTAAGTGATAGAAAGTAATTATCAAGACTAGATATAACTCTGTCCTAGCTACTATTTCCATCACTTTTTGTTGCCACAGCTTTCTTTCCTTGATACCTTTTTTTCACTTTGTACCTCACTGAATCCTGAACTATTTGGGAATAACACATCAATAAATTTACAGATACGGAGGAATTGCTACTTTTGAAGTATGCCTGAGACTGGAATGAACTGAATCAATAGTAAGCATGGCAGAAACCCAGCCTAGGTCAATGGAACATGTGAAGAGTTTCTATTTCCAAAATGTTCTCCCTTTCTCTCCCAGGAAAAGGCTTCTCTTCTTCAGGCAACTAAATGAACGCTGGCAAAGAACTCATAAGATAGTTCTCACCAAGAGATCTTCTAAACTTTTAACATTTCAATTGCTCTTACTGCTCTGGTTTCTACAGCATCTAAACTAAATGCTTATATTTAAAATATTTATTGGGCCGGCCCCATGGCTTAGCGGTTAAGTGCGCGCGCTCCGCTGCTGGCGGCCCGGGTTCGGATCCCGGGCGTGCACGGATGCACCACTTCTCTGGCCATGCTGAGGCCGTGTCCCACATACAGCAACTAGAAGGATGTGCAGCTATGACATACAACTGTCTACGGGGGCTTTGGGGGAAGAATTAAATAAATTAAAAAAAAAAAACAAAAATATTTATTCACTAGCAGTCTTTGATATTTTTGATTACACAAATTAGCGTCACAGGCATATCACTCTCTTTGTGATTTTATTACTTATCTTATTAAGCTTATTTCTCACCTCTACCAAAATGCATCCTATAAGCCACCCAGAGTAAACTATTAGCAGTTTCCCCAAGTTGTCACTTTCACCTTTCTGCACATAAGAGGTACTCAATGAATGGTAATTTTTACTAAAGAGTAACCTGTACGATAACTCTGGAGACTCTGACGTCAGAGCATTCCTAGCTTTTCTTTTATTATTAGAGCATAAGGCAGAAATGATTCCCTTAACATAAGAGTAAAAGCAGTATTTGGTGGCCATCTTCCTAGGAAATAATGCCATCTCCAAAAAATACTGGTATCAATTCCTCTTAGTGCACAACTTTCTCTTTTTGGTTGGCTGGTCATCTTTATATTTTTCCAAAGAACTAGAAATCAATTACTCATTTTAGTTCAGAATTTCTTATTTTGACATACCTGGGTCTGGAGTGTAAGTGAAAGGCTGAACATCATGAGATCTTCCAGCATTGGTCACTACATATATTCCCACTGATACTGGCAAAGTTATATGTTGGTCATGATACGGGGGAACCTTCACAATAAGATGATTCTAATTGAAAGAAAATTACAAGAGTCAGAAAGAAGCAATATTTTTAAAATAAAAGTTTGAAATAAAAAATTACAAATAAGTACACATCCTGTTAGCTGTAAAGTTAGTCTGACTAGAAAAAAAAATGTTATTTTAAAGCTTAGGTTCACAGGCATCAGGACACTAATCTTAAAACTGCTTTCAAGGTAAAATCCAAATGTTTTACAATGGCTTACATGGTCCCTGTCTTGTCAACGTTATCTGATTCCCATTCTCTCCCAGCTTGTTACACTCTGGCCACACTGACTTTCTAGTCCGTTCTTTTAAAATACTAACTTCATTTTTACCTCAGAGCTTTTACAACTTGCTGTTCCCTCCCATTGGTATATTCTTCCTTCACCTCTTCAAATGGCTAGTTCCTTACTCATTTTCAGGTCTTATTCAAATGTCACCTCCTCCGAGAAGCCCTCTCTGACCATCCTATTTAAAGGAGCACCCCTCTCTCCCACCTGATCACATAATCTTGTTTATTTATAAAATAGCACTATCACCACCTGAAATTACTGTGATTATCTGCTTGTTTTTTGCCTCTAACCACAAGAATGTAAGATCCATGAGAACCTAGGATGTTTTATTCTTCATTCGATCTCCACTGCTAAGCACTTTACACAAAATACACTCAAATATATTGTTCAATAAAAGAATGAATAAATTTTGAGGGAGAAAATACGCCCACCAAGTACAATGTCAGTTACCATATGCTTTGTACAACCTTAATTGTGAGATGCACTTCACAATGCAACTCACTGCTTCCTAACCATTAATTCTCATTTAAATTCAAACAGGGTTCATTTTACCCAAACCCCAGTAAATCAAAGTTATTTTTTTGTCAGAATAGTGGTAGAAGCATCCTTATTAGAAAAGGGAAGAGTTCATAAATGCTTCACCAGCACTTACTCACTGGGACTACATCTTTTTGGAAGATACTGCAAACCACACCTGACTTATTCTCTTCTTCCCTAGTGCATTATAGTAACGGGAAGGAACATCAAGGGGCAGTGATTATATTTTTGTACTGAGGATGTGATACGCAGAAAGCCAATGCTGATAGCTGAGGGTGAAGTGAGTCTGATGATATTTTTTACTTAGTTAGACTATAGTTGGTTGACTCACTTGAAGAGAATATGTGACAAATGAGGCCAAGGTCAAGGTTTCAATTTCTGAGCGCTTAATTTATTTCTAAGCTATCTGAAAACACTCTCTGAGATAGTCACATTATAAATAAAGAAACAGCTTCTGATTTATGGCATTAATAGAATGCCTCCTAAGCCCAGTTAGCCATCTCAAAAAAAAATCATGCTTTTAAGCCAGGTGGAAAAACATGTATAAATCTGTGCACATTCACAGGTACTAGGGGGCAAAAATTTGAAAGCACACACTCAATTGTACATGAGGTCATCAAAAAATGTACCTGCACTTATCCAATTTCTAAGAAATAGTTTTTAAATCTTGTCTACTCCCACTTTTACTCTTTTGTTTAAACATTGCAACTACATCACAAAGCAGTCCTACCCTATAGTTAAGGAAATGGTTGAATAGATGGACTTGTGAAGTATCCTTCCAGTCTTAAAATTATTTGGCAAACTCTATAATTGAAATTATTCTTCTGAATAAAAACTTGTTTTTTGGTAATCAGTAACAGAATGAATACCTAAAAGTCAGATGCATATTTTATCAAAAAACTTTTATCCCACTTGCGTTAGAGAGCGTATTTAAGCAAACCTTATTTGAAACCTTTTAAAAACCAAATGAACCTATTTTGACACTAATTCTTCATACTTCCTCAATCTGAATCTAGAAATTCTACAAGTGATTTGAATTAAAAACTAAGTAAATTGTGAATAGTGATAGAAAGTTGTTTTTAAATACTGTTCTCACAAATTAAGAGCAATTAACTGCTGCTGAGCTAGGAGTATAATACAGACAAAACATACGAAGGGCAGGGAGGCTTTTGGAGCAGGTACAATGTTCTTTTGGATATAAAGAGAAGACTATATGAATTTTAATTATTTAGAAAAATCTGTGTGGATTCAAAATAACGATTTTTTTTTCTCAGCAGATAATCAGATAATCTTTTTAGAGCTTATGAGCAATGGTGCTAGATATTTTTCACTCTCTTAAGAGATAATTTATCATTGCCACATTCATTTGGCAATTGGGGATATATATATGTATATTATATATCTATGTATGTAAATATATAATATAGTATATAATTATATATAGTATATATATATACTGTATGTATGTATATACAGTATATATATATACATATATATACACATATATATATAATTAGAGACACATAACAAAATAAAATTCCTAATAAAACCAATCTGAATAACCTCTAAACTCTCAACTCTTTGTTTAGTCTAGCTGTTCCCACAAATTCTGAGGATCTTTTCTGGCATTTCTTTCAATAACTTTCTTTCCATATTATACTAAAAATTCTATCTTCTCCAAAGCTCCAACTTCTCCTTATTTTTTGATTCTTACACTCTAAAAAATGCAACAGAAAGAATCCAGAAGACTAAGATTGTCATTGAGAAATGACAATCTATATAATTTTCTATTTTTGATACACTAATGCCTGTTTCATGTTTTGTAAACAAGGAATTCTTAAATCAAATTATATACCTCTTCCTAGTTTCTAATATACCTGTTGTTAGCTTCTAGTTACCTTTTTAAATCCCCACCACATTTCAAGCTGCTAAACTCTCTTGCTTTCTTTCAAAATCAACTCATCCTAAAGATACATATATATATAGAGAGAGAGAGAAAGAGAGAGAGATTGATCTTTAAGATATATTTTATATATATGTAATAGGCAATTAAGGTCCTATACAACTCATCTAAAGTTGTTAAAACGGGAATAGATATAATGATCATGTGCCTATCACATTTGGTATACATGAGCATAAAACATATTATATAGCCTTGACTACAAGAGCCAAATATTAAACAAAGAACTGTTTCTCCAGACTTTGTTAAATCTCAATTTTTATATAATAGAAAAAGTTTAATACCTGATGAGTTGATTTTGGGGTTGCAAATGAATAGCTATCACAATTATTCATAAGTGCAATCTGCAAAGTTATCTTTAAGTGGTCTTTTCTACTATATCACCTTCTGGGCATTTTTTAATATTGCAGAGGCCCTTTTAACTTTTCTACATATGCTTGATATTTCTTTATTGACCACACTCAAAGTTTCTTTTAATATATTTTCTCATCACTTTTCCCTGTAAATGTTTAATCTTTGTGGTTTTTTTTCTTTAACATAATCTCTAGGATCAACTCTTTATATCTCAGCTCTCATTCCACTCTAGAATACTTCCCAGACAGCCTCTTAAGGGAAAAAAAAAAAAAAAAAAGACAAAAGCTCTCTCTGAAAAGGATAAAAATTTTAAAATGAACAGCAGAACCACAGAATTAATGAAAGACCATATTATGACTTAGTTTGTGCACATACTTGCTTGCAAAAACCCAAGGACCTCTAGATATAGCCACCAAATAAGGACATAATGCCTTTCCATTCCACCACATCTTATTTTTATGATTATTTTTTAATCTACTGTAGCTGGCATAACTGCTCTGAAAAAAAGTGTTTTAAAAATGTAAATACCCCATGCTTCAAAGCTAAGGAAGGAAGGAAGGAAAGAAAGAAGGAAAGAAAGAAAGAAGGAGGTTAGGAACGAAGGAAGGAGGGAAGGAGAGAAGGAAGGAAGGAAGGAAGGAGGGAAGGAGGAAGGAAGGAAGGAAGGAAGAAGGAAGGAAGGTAGGAAGGCAGGAAGGAAGGAAGGAAGGGGAGAGGAAGAGGGAGAGAGAGAAGAGGAGTGAGGATGAGGAGACAAAGACTTCTTAAGTTCTATATGAAATAGCAAATTAAGATGATAATTTGTTGGGGCTATTTTATTAATATCTTGTATAATTTATAAGGCAAGTCTCTCAGTCTCCAGAACTAGTTTTCTTATCTATAAAACTGCATCACAAGATAATTAAGGTAAGGAATAACAATTGAAATAGAATATTACCAGCAAAGGAGTTTATATCAATCTAACCAACTCATCAAAAAACAAAATACATTCACGGCACACAAAAGTATTGCATGGATACATTAAGCTTCAGTCAGGACCAAAACTATAGGCATATAAGTAGCTGGTGGAAATCAGGGTGTGATGTGCCCTTAGAAAGAAGAACAAAGGACCTCAGAACCCAGAGTCCTCTTTTTCTTCAAAGTGAATGAAGTGAACTAACAAGTTTTTCATGAGGCTCTATTAAGTGCTTAATAGTAGGAGGAACACAGAGGAGTCATAATACATTGTCTCTAACCTCTAGAAGTCCTCCAGAAGAAGCCACTATTGATTCTGTGGGGAGCGGGAATGGTCTGATCAACAAGTTATACAAGAAATCACAAAATGTCAAAGTTAGAAGGAGCCTCGAATATCTAGTAAAAGAGCTTATTTTATAGATTAGAAAACTAGGGCACAACAGCGACTTGTCTTACTTAAGTAATACAGGTTGCTAGTGACAAAGCAGCTCTAGAACCTCAGTTAAGACTAGTCTAGCAGAGATTGCCCAGTATGACAAAGAAATGACAGTTGAGTCCCACCACCTCTTTTTGACACCATGTAGTAGCATAAGGCTAGAGGAAAACTTTCTACATAGCATTTGTCTAGGTACACAGGAAGCTCCACTTTACATGATACTATATAGTGAAGAATTAACTTTATCCAAAGTGAGATGTAGTCTTTGCCCTTGGGTACTGGGAGATGATCTCTAGGACCCTGGAATATCCTGTCTGATAGCAGTATCTTTGTTTGTTTGGGGGCTTTGGCCATTGGACAGTCTAACAATGTGATTTATGAAGGGGGCTTTGGAACACGTTATATCAGTTTCGACCTCTGGTGGAACTGCACACTAAAATTCTAGATACTAATGGCTTGGGTGAGCTTCCCTATTGGCAATACTCAGCTTATTGCCTCACGCTGATGTGCTGAGAAGGCAAGGCTTCCTTGAGAACCAAAGAAGCTTCATCTTTGGGACCCTATGCTCCATGCGTCTCTCCCTTTGGCTGGTTCTGATTTGCATATTTTTGCTATAATAAAACTGACATTGTTAAGTATAGTGCTTGCCTGAGTTCTGTGAGTTGTTCTAGCAAATCTGAGAGGGAGTGGGAACCCTTGAATTTGAAGCCAGCTGTTCAAAAGTGAGAGTGGCCAGGAGATCCCTGAACTTGTGGCTGGTGTCCGAAGTGATGGCAGTTTTAGGGAGCACTGTGGCCTTAGCTTTGAGTTTGGCAATATACTGGATATAATATATTAGATATATAATGTTTTAAATTTTTATTAGATTTTTTTGAAACACAAAGGAATAAAAAAATTAATTAAAAAACCACAAAGGAATTACAAACTTTTATGATAAATTGGCCATAGATTCTCTAATTTTTGCCTCTTCCATCTCTCTGCTTGTTCTCATATGCTCTTTTCTATTCCCATCAGCATTTTATGTTGACGTTTATGGGTATTTTACACATTAGTTTGTTCCCGCTCTCTCTTCTCTCTCTATGAACCACTCCTATACATACAACTCTTCTGCATGTCTATCTGATTTGCTCATAAGTTTGTCCTTCTCTTCTGCTAGTCTCAACATCTATGAATTTGGTCCTATCTGCTCTACATACTAATTCTTAAGTCAGTTCTTTATCCTTATTTTCAAGCTCTTTTTCCTTGTTATTTGAAAAACAATACATGGCAAGGTCCTACAGCTATAGACTCTTTAACACAAGTGTAACAAACAGTGTTTCTGAATGCAAAAAGGTAACAAACATAAAACATCTGGCACATAGCAGGTACTCAATAAATAAGTTTCCCTTTGATTTAACTAAACAGTAGGTTAAGATAATCCAAATCCTCAGAGCAAATAAATATTAGGAAAGAAATGTTCATTTATTAACAATGGTAATTTGCTAATGCTCTTACCTTTTTAAATAGAGAACTGTCATTTCTAGCATCAGTGGAATAATTCTGTTTCAGTTAAACTCAAGAAGAAACTTTAAATGACTTACATCAACCCCAGATAAAGAAGAAATTTAATCTGTTGATTCAGGAAAATTTTGGAACAAGACTGAATTTCTCAGAGAGTAAACAATCAAACTACAAAAAGGCTTAAATTATACCTGATGAAATAATTCCATGTCGATTTCAGCTTCTGACTTCCAAGAGTTTTCATCTGATTGAAATAAAAACAGTGACTTAGTAAAATTTTGAAAAAATTTTTACTTGCAGCTATGACTATATTTTTATAACAAAATGAAAAATGCAACAATCTCTATACCAGTATTATGCCTACTTACCAGAAACATTCTCTTGGAAAATAACTTTAGTTCCTTTCAGAAAGTTCTTGCCGATTAAAAATACTTCTTCCTCTCCTTTCACTGAACAGCTATGCAAGCTTTTCTTTAAGATTTCTGGCACTCCTGCTGGCTGAGCTGTGGGTATACATAAACATTCCATAAAATGAACCACTAATACTTATTTCTTATCTAACATCAACTCTCAATTATTATCCAGTTCTGTAAGTTGTCTTTGTTTACTCCTGAATTTGACTTCCTTTATTCTGCAACTTAACTTTTACCCTAACAGAGAGCAGAGGAAAAACAGAAAAGTCCACATTAATTTTTAATAACTCATAAGATATTATAGGGATGGATTAACATCCAGGATAAGGTTTTAATTTATTATGTAATCTTCGTTTTCTCCTTACATGAATAATAAAAAAGTTTTAAAATATGCACTTGGTCATGTTTTTGTCTTAATAATATTTTTTAAAAATTCAATTTAAAAACAAGCCTGTCCCACAATCCTAACCTTAAAAATGTCAGCTATGCTATGCCATTACAAGACTTCTGAGGCAATGAGTGCCTCTAACTGGCTTCTTTAAGGACCTAGACCTAGCATTCAGAGGCCCCATACCAAAAGAACATCTGAAAATAGACTGAATCTGATTCAGAATAATTCTTTCTACCAGCGGATCTCCCTGAACTGGGATACCCTGAGGTTAAAACACAGAATGCACTTGTTTTTCAATTACAAAGATTAACTAGCCACTACTAAAATTAACAAAGAGGTTGACAAGTACTGAGGAGCCAGATCTAATGAATAAATTCTAATTAGCCTACCAACTTCCTCATGCCAGGATTTCTTTAAGAAAATTTAATAGGTATTGCTTAGCAAAACAGGTTCGAAAGTCAAGTAAATCTGAGAAATATGGGGTTAAGCAAAGCTAAATAAACAAAAGGATTTCTCTAAGCATTTCATATTCTGATGTACACTGTAAATAACCAAGAAGTGGGTATAGTATACAGTTTCCCCAACATATATGACTCCAGAAACATTCTTCATTATTGACACTCAAGGACTAGTTTCCATCAGAATACTCTCTGGGATACAGGTATATGCAAATAAATACCTTTTAAGTACTTAAGTACTTAAGTACCTTAAGGCTAAGCACTTTGTCATAGATTATGCTATTTGTTGTTTTAATAAACGCTTGCAAAATACACACTGCAAACGTAAACTTAAATATGGCCTGTATAACTCATCAACTTCTAAATTAATGAGATATTCCACTAAACTTTAGGAAAAGTTTAAGTTTTTTCTCCTTAGATGCTTACATATTTAATAGTTAATTTTATCTTTACAAGAGTGTAATGTGGGAAACTGTTATTGTCAAAATATTCATGGCTCCTCTTTCCCTAGCCCCTTCCCTTGTGGAAAGGCTTTAATTCTTGCTCCACTCACATCAGAACTGGCCATGTGACTTGTTTGGATAATGAAATGTGAACTGAAGTAACGTGCCAGTTTCAAGCAAAAGCTTTAAGAAGCCTCACATGGCTCCACCATCTCCTTTTTCCTCCACTACAAAAACAGCAACATCCCAGATAAAGGCAGCTTCTTCACCCTGGATCCCAGAATGAAGAGAATGGACCTGTTTCCAAATCACAGCCAATATTATCATAAAGTGAGGGAGAAATAAAATGGTTGTTGTAAGCCACTGAGATTTTTTTTGGTTGGTTGTTACTGCAGCATCATTTAGCCTCACTTATTGATACAAACAACTAAGTATCCCATCCTTATTAAATATTTAAATGGCAAATGATGTTTTCAGCAAAGTCTGAGAGTTTAAAAGAAACTGTGCATGTATATACATATACACTGTCTAGAACCCACAGGGTTAATGTATGAACAGAATGGAAACAGTTATTGGTCATACAATGGCAATTATATACCCTTTTTTAAGTAAAAAATTAACTGAACTAATTTATAACTTTTTGGAGTAACATCAGGACTAGATACTTGTTTTTAAAGGACAGTCAAGAAAAACATGGTAAATATTATTTTGATTAGAAAACAAGAGGGCAAAATTATATGAAAACATTGTATCAACAAAATGAATGGAAAGTCACAACCATTCCCCCCATTTTCTTTCTTTTTTTTTTTTTTTTGTGAGGAAGATCAGTCCTGAGCTAACATCCATGCTAATCCTCCTCTTTTTGCTGAGGAAGACGGGCCCTGAGCTAACATCTATTGCCAATCCTCCTCCTTTTTTTTTTTCCCCCAAAGCCCCAGTAGATAGTTGTATGTCATAATTGCACATCCTTCTAATTGCTGTATATGGGACACGGCCTCAGCATGGCTGGACAAGCGGTGCGTCAGTGCGCGCCCGGGATCCGAACCCGGGCCACCAGTAGCGGAGCGCGCACACTTAACTGCTAAGTCATGGAGCCGCACCCCCCCCCCCCCATTTTCAAATACTATGTGGAATTTCTACTTCACTGACGATTATCAAAATCTTTTTTTCCTATCCCATTTTTTCCTTTTATGTATTAAAGGCATAAAATGGCCAAATGAGCCCTCTCTGAAGGTACAATGTGTATTTATCTTCTATATATTTGTATTTACATCACACAACGAACTAGTCTGCTACTATCCAAGATAATTTAACTTTTAGCTTTTGACCTTAAAAGGTTTTTTCTATTAAAAAGTTTAATGGTTACCTAACAAGACAGACTCCACACTAAACAGAACTAAAGTCAGGATTACTTAAGCATTAACTGTTTTACTTTTATCTTTAAGTAATTAGTAAGCTGACGCTTGAAAGTGATTACACTGCTTAAAAAATTACAACAAAAAAAGCAGCCACCTTTCTGGTATTATAAAAATAATGTGCTTTTAGATGCTTTTCAAATAGCGGTCTCAAAAATAAAGCTGAAAAAAATTAATGAATATCTGGATACTTAACGAAGCAAATATTTCACCATGTCAAATGAATTAGTAAAGATTTATAATAATGTCTATGAAAAGAAGGAAAGTTTACTCAATGATATTATCCTTTTCCTAAAGTTGTGGGATAGAAAGAAATAAGAGAAGTAGAAACTTGTTAAACTCAGTCAAATTTAATACAGTAAGCATTATAAGATAAAATCTAATATACATTATATTGAAGAAAGCTATGATTAATTTTGCCATATTAAAAAAATTGCTATAGGAAGGTGGCTACTAAAAAAGTACGAAAACTGATATTCTTAATTTGACGTAGTATAATCAAATAATATAAACAATATACCAAAACAAAAAATATTGTCTGGAGAAATCTAAAGGTGTTAAAAATGTAAAAGAGGATGATTGTTCCATCCCCTTAAAAATAAACAAACAAAAAGACAATGGATCCAATGGCTGTTGTTAAATCAACAAGTAGAAGCAGGATTTTTTTTTTAAGGTCACAAGGCACAACATGAATTCTGGTATTGGGCCTTCTTTCCACTGAGTGTCTCTAGATGGAAGATCAAGTATCTGTTTCCTCTCCTCCCTTCCACCTCTATCACCTTTTGGCCTCTCTTCCTTTTCTACCTCCCTCTCATCTTCCTGTTTCCTTCTACCTCCCATTCCAATTCTAACCTTCTTACTAACCTATTTCCTTTTCACCCTTCACTCTACTCAAACTGCTCAAACCTGCCAAAAAGGTTATAATCATGGAAATAAACATAAACCAGAAACCAATAATGAAACATATTTATTTTTAATTTTTTAAACAAAAATATTTTTTGCATCCTTCGTTTCACTGTGTATTATTTATGTGTTTACTTTTCCTCTCCTCTCATACCCCGTACCCGAAAGCCTAAGTTTAAGCCTCAAGCTCCCTAAAGCGGTCAGGATAAAATTCGAATTCTTTAGCTCAACACACAAGTCTCTTTACGGAATAGATCTTGCCTAAGTCTACTAGCCTCAAATCTTATCACTTCTTCGTAGCTATCTTTTTGTTCTAATCACGTCAATCTCTTTTTAATTCTCCTAAAAGAAGCATACCTTTTCATGGAGTATATTATACACTGTTCCCTCTGCCTAGAATGATCTTCATCTAAACCCTGTTTTGCCTGGTTTACTTCTATTTGTCCTTCAAGACATAGCACAAGTTTTACCATCTCCAAGCAGTCTGGATTAGATGTTCTTTTCTGTTTCCACTGTACCTTATTCATGTATCTACTATAGCCTTTATATCATTTTATAATATAACATAATAGAAAGTTTGCTTGTCTGGTTTTCCCTCTAGTCTGCTAGACTGTAAACTCCTTAAGCTATCATGTCTTGTTTCCAGAATTGGGCACACTATAACTATCCACTAAATTAACTATGAAGTTTTCCCAAAACATTCCTAAGATTCACTGATTAAGTGGCATGTCTTTTTTTTTTTTTAATGCACCACAGGAGACTCTGATAGCCAGGATTGAGAAGCACAATTTCACTGCCTGCCAAGATTTGCTGACTGAGCCTATGAATACAAAAAATTTTAGTAGTATATATCACATTTTGTTTTTAAAAATAGGTCAAATAAAATGATTGAGGAATAGAGATAAAATGATGATCAAATTGAAACAAAGAATTCAGTTCCCTTCAATATTTTCAGAAAAATGATGTTAAAACAGGGAGTAGAAGTATAGAGAAATGTGTTTAAAGAAACAAAAACAAAAACTGTCTTCTGAGTCATAAATGAATTTCAGAGAATATTAAACAAGAAACTGTCTACCATATGATCCAGCAATTCCACTCCAAGGTATATACACAAGAGAATTGAAAACATATGTCCAGACCAAAACTTGTACACGTATGTTCATAGCAGCATTATTCACAAAGCCAAATGACGGAAACAACCCAAATGACCATCAACAAATGAACGGACAAACAAAATGTGGTATATCCAAACAATGGCATATCATTCAGCAGTAAAAAGGAACGAAGTACTGATACATGCTACGGCATCAATGGACCTTGAAAACATTATGCTAATTGAAAGAAGTCAGATAAAAAGGCCACGTATTATATGATTTCATTTATATGAAATATCCAGAACAGGCAACTCCACAGAGACAGAAAGCAGAATAGTGGTTGCCAGGGACTGGGGTGACAGGGGAATGGAGAGTGACTGCTAATAGGTACAGGGTTTCTTTTTGAAGTGGTGATAAAAATGTTCTAAAATTAGATGATGATGGTTGCACAACTCGCTGAATATAATAAAAACCACGTAATTGTACACTTCAAAAGGCTGAGGGCCAGCCCGGTGGCTCAGTGGTTAAGTTCAGCACACTCTGCTTCAGCAGCCTGGGGTTTGCAGGTTCAGATCCTGGGTGTGGACCTACACCACTCATCAAGCCATGCTGTGGCGGCATCCCACATACAAAATAGAGGAAGATGGGCACAGATATTGGCTCAGGCAAAAAGAGGAAGACTGGCAACAGGTGTTAGCTCAGGGCCAACCTTCCTCACCATAAAAATTTTAAAAATCAAAAAAAAAGGCTGAATTATATGGTATGTGAATTATATCTCAGTAAACTATTATAAGAGAAAAAAAGAAATTGTCTCCTATGGGCCAGAAAGCAAGAACCTGATTGTATGTAAATTTAAAATAATCAATTAAATACGTATATGCTAATACCCTACTAACAAATTATAAGCTATACAACTTAAGAAGTATATCCATTATTATGTTACAGTTGATCAAAATAAAATCCTTCCTATATTCTATAGCACATACCAGCTCAAAACAATGGACAAATAAAATCAGATATCTCTTTCATCTGCCATGTCCTACCTTGAACAAACAAGATTTCTTACCTCTCCTGTTACATAAAGTGAAACTAATCATTTCTATTCTTTTTTTTTTTTTTTTTTTTTTTTTTTAAAGATTTTATTTATTCAGTTTTTCCCCCCAAAGCCCCAGTAGATAGTTGTACGTCATAGGTTCACATCCTTCTAGTTGCTGTACGTGGGACTCGGCCTCGCGTTGGACAGAGAAGTGGTGCCTCGGGGCGCTCCCGGGATCCGAACCCGGGCCGCCAGCATCAGAGTGCGCGCACTTAACCGCTAAGCCACGGAGCCGGCCCTAATCATTTCTATTCTATTAAGATCACAGAGTTGTTGTCAGGATCAAATGGGATAACGTATAATTATTAGTGGGAAACTCCATTAGAGCAATACTCACTAGAGAGGAAGAATGACTTAAACTACTGAGGAGCTGGAAGCAGGGATGGGGAATGATTAGCCCAGTCTCTTCTCTCCCTCTTCTGCATCTGCCTACCTGCACAAAGCATGAGTTTTAGACTGTTTACTGTCAGTTGGTAAGGGGCCTGCGGTTGTGGAGGGCTGCTTTTCTTTCTTTTTTAATTGATGTCATAATAGTTTATAACACTGTGAAATTTCAGTTGTACATTATTAGTTAGTCACCACATATGCGCCCCTTCACCCCTTGTACCCACCCCCAAACCCTTTTCCCCTGGTAACTACCAAATTGTTCTCTCTGTCCATGTGTTAGTTTATCTTTGCGGAGAGCTGCTTTTACTGGGGGGATAGATGTATCTTACTCCAGACTGAAGAAGCCAGTCCTTTTTCTAAATTTTTTTTTTTGGTGAGGAAGATTAGCCCTCAGCTAACATCTGTTGCCAATTCTCCTCTTTTTGCTGAAGAAGATTGGCACTGGGCACGTCTGTGCCCATCTTCCTCTACTTTATATGTGGGACGCCTGCCACAGCATGGCTTGATAAGTGGTGCATAGGTCCATGCCTGGGATCCTAACCCATGAACCCCAGGCTGCTGAAGGGAAGCGTATGAACTTAACCACTACGCCAGCAGGCCGGCTCCTCTAATATTTTTATCAATAGTAAAATTGGTATTTTCATCTCAATTTCTGTAACTCCTAGATGTCTAACTCCTACCACAAAGGGAACATTTATTTATTAACTTCCTAAGACCTCAACATAACAAGAAAGCACTTTATAAACCATAGAGTACAATATAGAGATAATATATTACTATGAAAAGTAACATTAAAGTTAATACCTCTTCCTGTTCATCTAGTCTAATATTTAAAGCAAAAATAATTAAAAAGTAATAAAAAATTTTAAAATACTTCATTTTGTTGTCAGTTAAACAACAAGGCAAGATTGTCTGACCAACCTACAGCCCTCTGGGTAGTATATTTAATGAAAACCCATGAAGGTAAAGTAAAATTACATTTTGAACATAGAATGATGACATTCATTACAAAGAATAATAGAATTCTAAAAAATCAAATCATTAACCCATTAGGAGGAGTGTGCAGATCAAGAGGCTTAGATTCTTGCCTAAATGATTAGATCTAATTGATATTCATAGAAATTACTATTAGAAATATTTTAAACTAGTTATACAATGTTTTAAGAAAAAAATCAGTTTGCATAAAATTCTATGAAAATAGTAACATTACTAAGAAACAAATAGGAAAACTCTTTATCATGTAAACTTATTTGCAAATTAATTATTATTTTAGTACTTTCTCTTCTAAAAGAGGCATGGGAACTATTACTGCAAAGGTACCCCTTTCTTTAAAAGAAAGTACTACCCATGTTTATCTAATCCAGTCTCTAAGCAGATGGCAAGATAAATGGCAAATAGTCAACTAGAGGAATAAAAATATACATCCTACACCTCCATGATAAACAACATCTACAAAAGGAAATGGAAGGGGCAACAGAGTTATTCAAATAAAATCCCCTAATATAAATTGAGATCCACTTTCTAAATTCATAGAAAGTCTAAATTACACAACATAAACCTCCTAGGTAGAGGAAACAGTTCTCTAACATAATTGCATACTGTAACCATAGTACTAACCATCCAGAAGCTATGGCTAGGATGAAATGAATTGTTCAAACTTCATTTCAGCATTGCAATGTAAGTGACTGTGATGGCAATACAGCATAGTGGCTAAAAGCAGAGGCTCTGAATCCTGGTCTTGCTATTTACTAGCTTTGTGACCTTGAGGAAGTTAAATCTCTCCAGGTCTCAGTTTCATCAACTGTAGAATGGAATCCATATTAAGGTGACAGTAAGGGTTAAATGATTTAATGCTTATAAGTAGTTAACAAAATCCCTGGCATAGAGTCAGAGTTCAAAATACGGTAACTTTTATTATTAGCTATATATGCCCTCCACTGTATACTGCTGCTGCTTAGGCCTATCATATCCACCTCAGAGACAGCCTTCCAGGGAGATATACTTTTTTGCAATATGGACATATATTATCATTAATGGTGATAATTAACAATAATAATAATTACAGATGAAAAATTTCAGAAAATTATGTTTTTAATTTTTTTTTTGTATTTTCTACCATCATTAGCTGGACATATTTACACTTTACCAACATCTTAATGAAACAGGAAACAAAGAAATGAATGAACAAACTAATGAAAGGAGTAAACAATAAAGTTGGCAACCATTTCCCACTTCCTGCTAAAGCAACATGATCTGAATTATCTAGCATCTCCTGTCTCTCATCTTCAGAGAATGCCTATGGTCATGCTCAAAGTATTAGAGCATGTAAAAGAACTGCATATGCCCAACTAAAATTGGAATTCCATCCTAATAATATTCAAGTTGGGACATATCACGAATTATAGTAAATTCAGAACTGGAATACCTCAATTAGAAAAGCTTTAGAACTCAATAAACCACCTACAGATTATTCATTCTGTCCCTATCTGAATGTGATAGAATGGACGTGGAATCTATGTTCTTTAAAAGCACCCTATCTATAATTGAACATTACCCAGAATTAACCCAAGAAAATACTAGTATCAAAACATATTTTTCATAATAATGAAAAATAGAGAAATCTAATTGAGCTCCCTTGAGATCAGAAAGATAATTTTAGTACTTTCTTTTTAAAATTAAGGTGTTTGCTAAGCTAAAGTATAGCTATAATCATTTCTGAGATGAATTAAAAGAAAAGGAAAAATAAGATTTACGAAAAGATGAACAATTTGACCAAACTAAGCTATAATTAAATAACAAAGGCTCTATAACTGTCCTATGGGTAGCAAGGTATTGATACCCATAACAACTCAACAGGAAATTCAACTGAATGGGATAGATCTCTTCAGCTCTTTTGAATTTAGGTATAATTTACAAAGAAACAATGCCAAAGAAAATTACACTTAATGAAAATCTTAAGTGATATATATAGGAAAAATTTTCCTATTTATTACTTGTAATAATACTCATTAGAGGGAAACCAGAACATATGGTGAGGTACACACATCATCTACTTTCTACGTCAAGGTTAGCAAGATAAAAATTTCATTTCCCACTTCCCAACACTATACTAAAATACTATAACTTGTAATCAGAACTCCAACTGCTGTGCATTTACAAAGTTCTGCTTACTTTACTGTTTATGTTCTAACACAAAACAGAGTTAGGATCACAGCAATTTATCACACAATGAAGATGCTGGGAAAATTCTTCCGCTTTGTCATTTACTTCTGGTAACTATTCAAATTACTTTTTAAACCAATATCGGATGATAACAGAAAATTACAAAATGCTACATACCTTTTGAATTTTATTTGAAATTACCCACCTTTAGTCTGGAAAATCTGACTACAGCTTTTAGTGTTTCAAATTTTGCATGATCATAAGCTGCAGTATGGGAAACATCTGAAATTTAGAGACGTCTGAAAAATTAATAGAAAATGAAAAAACTCTATATATTTAAAATCTTTATATTTTCTTACTTACTACATAAAATTGGAGAAGAGGGTGTTTGCAGTGTCAAAGTGGAGCCATCTTTCCTTGTGATATTAACTCGAAAAACCAATCTGGCACGAGTGCTTTTTTTCTTGGAACCAGCAATTCCTATTCTGGCTTCCACATCAGCATTTCTCAATTTCAATATCCCTACGCAGTCCACCCTAACACAGAAAAAATACATTAACTGATATTTTCTGTTGTATAAATGTACAATAATCTTAATCAAACTAGTTTCTTCTTAAAAAAATTTGCTTCTTTATTAATTTTTGAATATGTAATATAATCATAAGGTTCCAAATTCAAAAAGTACAGAAGGGTAAATTCTGAATATTCAATTCCTAATCTTGTCAACTTTATGTTTATAATAATAATGGAAAAATAGTAAAAAAGAAAAGTCACTATTTCAAAATCTGAACATAAGTAATGGTTACAAGGGATACTTTTGCTGTTTTGTTTTGTTTTGTTTTGTTTTGTTTTGCTGAGGAAGATATGCCCTGAGCTAACATCTGTTGTCAATCTTCCTCTTTTTGCTGAGGAAGATTCACCCTGAGCTAACATTTGCTGCCAATCTTTCTCTTTTTGTATGTGAGCTGCTGCCACAGCATCGCCACTGACATCTGTGATGTAGGTCCGTGCCCAGGAATTGAACCTGAGCCGCTGAAGTGGAGCATGCTGAACTTAACCAACTAGGCCACTGGGGCTGGCCCTTGCTGTTTTTTAAAAAAATAATAAATTTAGCCTCTTTCTTTTTACAGCTAATTCAGATATTAAAATAGGGGGAATGGGGCCTGGCCCAGGGGTGTAGTGGTTAAGTTCACGTGCTCCACTTCAGCGGCCTGGGGATCGCAGGTTCGGATCCCGGGTGCAGACCCACACACCACATATCAAGCCATGCTGTGGCAGGCATCCCACGCATAAAGTAAAGGAAGGTGGGCATGGATGTTAGCTCAGGGCCAATCTTCTTCAGCAAAAAGAGGAGGATTGGCAACAGATGTTAGCTGAGGGCTAATCTTCCTCACCAAAAAATAAAAAAAAAAAGAAAGAGGGAACAGATTTTACTTTAAAAAAAATTTCTGTCCCCAAAAGAATGGAACACTACACAGCCATTAAAATGTATGCTATAAGATAATATTCAATGTTATGGGAAAATGCTCAAGATAAGTAAAAAGCAGGCTACAAAACAGCAGGTACAGCATTATGTCAATTTTATCAGAAAAAAGTCTGGAAAGATAAATATTGAAATAGTGGTTATTTTGGGCTGGCCTTCCTGTGGCCTAGTGGTTAAGTTTGGCATGCTCCGCTTTGGTGGCCTGGGTTTGGTTCCCAGGTGTGGACCTACACCACTTGTCTGCAGCCATGCTATGCCGGCAACCCACATACAAAACAGAGGAAGACTGGCACAGATGTTAGCTCAGGGCAAATCTTCCTCAAGCAAAAAGAGGAAGATTGTCAATAGATGTTAGCTCAGGGCGAATCTTTCTCAGCAAAAAAAAAAAAAAAAAGTGGTTATTTCTGGGAAGTTGGCTTTTGAGAAGTATGTTTTTAGCTTTTTATTATTATTATTAATTTTTATTTTTTTACTATTCTGTATTTTCCACTTATAATGAATAAGCACTACTTTTATAATCAGTAACTTCCTTTCTTCCACTATATATTTATTTTTATCATTTTCAAAAGTTAAAAAATAAATCTTTACTAAATATTTTTCAAAATTTCTCTTTTCCAATTAACTTTATTTTATTTTATTTTATTTTTGTGAGCAAGATAAGCCCTGAGCTAACATCCATGCCAATCCTCCTCTTTTTTGCTGAGGAAGACCGGCCGTGAGCTAACATCTATTGCCAATCCTCTTCCTTTTTTTTTTTTTTTTTTCTCTTTTTCTCCCCAAAGCCCCAGTAGATAGTTGTATGTTATAGTTGCACATCCTGCTAGTTGCTGTATGTGGGACGCCGCCTCAGCATGGCCTGACAAGCTGTGCGTTGGTATGTGCCCAGGATCTGAACTCGGGCTGCCAGCAGCGGAGCACGCGCACTTAACCGCTAAGCCACGGGGCTGGCCCCCTCCAATCAACTTCTTACTAGCCTATTCAAAATGGCCTTCGAAAGGAAACTGAAAACCAAGTAGAGAAAAGTCTTTAGGTATCCAATACAAATAATTACAACACAGGTCTACCCCACAGCGATATATTTGCTGCTGCTATGGTTCAACTTTAGGACTAAAGGTCTTTAACAAAAAGTTTAAATCATTAATACTCCTAATATTTTTAAGGCACTGAAAATACATAAGATGAAAAATACACAGTTCTAGGACATAATTTTATTTAACATAGGAAAATAAAACAAAAGGTGAATTTAGACCAGCAATATGCTTTTTCACATCAAGATGGGTCCAGGCACCCTGAATGGTCTCTGTCAAATGGTTTCTAAGGCAAACACTAAGAAAGCGGTATTTAGGAAACCAAATCAAACTGTAATTTTTATTTTTAATGTTAATATTATTAATCCCAACAAATAAGTCTACATTATTTCCCAAAAAGCCAGCATTCCACCTGGCTTTTATCTTCTTGCCTTTCACCATGGGAATTCTTCAGCAAAGGGCAAAAGAGTTAATTTTAACCCATTACCATTCTGCAATAATCTATTTTTTTATTTGTAATGTTTAAAACATTTTTAAAAAATACTCAAAATCTTTTACACATTAGAAACTAAAAATTTTTCCTCCTACTGCAAAAGTGTAACACATAACAAAAAAATTTTTACTAGGTACGTACGCTAGTGTCATGTTGTTGCTCGGATCAAGGCCAACTTCTATAACGGTAGTGCCTTCAATGTCCACTTCTTTGCAGGGAGTTGTATTTCGTCCAGTTACCCTGCAGGCCTGATAAAATCCATGTGGTTTCACTCGACCAGAGTCATTGCCCACAAACACCTGCAACACTACTGGCTCATTATGGCCTTCCAGCTGGAGTGAGATAACATGGAGCATAAACACTAATTAGTCTTTCAAATAATCTAATTGTAAAATCAAACATTTAAGACTAAGCACGGTATTTACAACTAGATTACAATAAAGAAATAATTTAAATCCTCAAGAAAAACAGATGAAATATTTTCATAAAAGAGAGTTGGCTAAGTTTTAATTCTGCAATAATCACATTTTAATTAAAATTTTAGATGTTTAATGATAAATTATCATTTATAATTAATTTGTACAACTAGATGAGAATGAGTACACAGTCTTTTAGGTATTTATAAATTTATGCACTGCCAAAGAAGCATATGGATTAGTCATGATGTACCACCACCACTGACAGAAAATTCAGTCAACTGTGTTAGTGGCATCATTAATCACCATCAAATGAAAGTACATCTACTAAATTTTAGCTCTTTTAAAGCTATTTGAGTAGAAAAGTGTTTGAAGCACAGCTATATAAATAATAGGGAAATAGAGCTCATTTTCATAGACTACATACATACATACAACATCATGAAATCCTGAGCCAAAATATTTGGGTCTGAAAAATTGCTAGTTTGAACCAGGATCTATGGGTCATTACAAGTCTCTAGCAAGTCTTCATAAATTACATTATGATTTGTATGCTGAATAATAAATATGCTGAAGAATAAATAAACAAATGCTTCCAATGCTGATTCTTGATAACGTTTAGAGTTAAACACTGAAGCTGCTAATACAGAAAGCAGAAAATCACAAAAAAAACTTGTACAACATCCACCAAAGTGCTTTAAAAAACTCATATAATGGGCCGGCCCGGTGGCGTAGTGGTTAAGTGTGTGCGCTCTGCTGCAGCACTCCAGGGTTCGGATGCTGGGCGCATACCGAACCACCACTTGTCAAGCCATGCTGTGGTGGCGTCTCATATCAAGTAGAGGAAGATGGGGACGGATGTTAGCCCAGGGCCAGTCTTCCTCAGCGAAAAGAGGAGGATTGGCGACAGATGTTAGCTCAGGGCTAATCTTCCTCATACACACACACAAAAACTCATACAACTTTTCTATCCCAGTATAGTTGTATCTCTGTGAAATATCAGAATGAGGCCAATGAGCAATTTACCTAAACTGTCAGTCAGCAGTACCTAGAACAGTGTCTGGCACACAGAGGGGCACAGTATTTGTTTAATCAACGAAGAAATAAAATTTTAAGGTCAGTCAAACCCCACTCTATCACAGTTAGGCAATTAATCTAATAATACTTCTGACCAGACAAGTACTTAGACAAAGTATAACTTGGAGTCAGAGCAATTAGACTAAAAATATTGACCAAACTATCAAAATGTCTGGTCAGACAAATATTTACACAAAGCATAACTTAAATTTCTCACTTGCCTATTACCTGTCCTGAGTTTCGGGGATTGAGGTTGGGTTGGTGTGGTGAGTAGTACAGGGGTAGGAATGATATTGTACATGTGACTGTTAACCAAGGTCATGGGTAAGTTTCCCAATCCCAAGCTTCTACCATTATTTCATTCAAGTATAAAATGAAAGGCAATTCAACTAACACATATACATAAACTGTATTTAACAAGAATCTACCATGTGACTAGCCAAAATTCCTCCCTGTTTAGTATTTTGCAGGGGTAGGAACACTTGTTAAATATTCCCCACCCCACTATTTTTTGGTTCGTCTTCAAAGAGAAATATTCTTTGTAACAAAGTATCCCAGTTGCTCAAATTTAAGTCCCTTTCTTTCCATTTAGTCTAAGTTCTGAGAAGATGAAGACTCAGTTGATTCCTATTTCTTAAACTGAAGACTTAAGTTACCTATTAACCAATTCTTTTCTGAGTTGAACAGTCCTAATTACTTTGGCCATCTTAAAAACCTTATTTTCCAAGTCCATAATAATTTCTACAGTATTTCTTTGAATTCACTTTAAAATTTCTTCCTAAATATAAAGTTTGGGAAGAATCTAATGTGGTCTCTACCAATGGTCACATACCAATATAAGGGGAAGATAATTCATGATTTCCAGATATTTTATTTATCACAACACATTCTCAGCTCTCCTTTAATTTAAACTAATATTCAAATGACATCAAATTAACAATATCTGGCTGTGGTTCAGTCAGACTTTTACTTTAATTTCTACTATATATAGCTAGTAATTCTATCTTTCTATTTTAGGCAGCTTTTGCTGGTTAAAAACAAAATAACTAATAAATAAAACTGGAGAAAATTCTTCATATATTGCTAAATAAAATAAATACCTTTACTGTAGGAAAGCCTTGCTGTGTTCTATCCTTTACTGAGCCACGGCTACCCTCAGTCAGGTACCGAGCTCGGTGCTGGGTCTCAGGTTGTACTACTATCTTCAGCTCCTTTCCCTCACTTTTAACAGGATACTGTCCACACAACATAGGGCTCTTCTTTACTCCAGTTCCTTTTTGGTTTTCCAATGTTCTGAGAAGTCAGAGCACAACATGGAAAAAGTATCAAAAACAGTTTTCTACAAAAGTCATCTAAGATAAAGGAAGAAGCAGAATAGGCAATAACATTAAAAACAACTGATTATCTTACTGATAGAATAAATACAGCCTAAGGGAAGATACATTCCATAAGCAAAGTATCTTTTAAAATTTTGTTAAAATTTAACTATATGATGCAAAAATAAAAGAAAGTAGTTGGACGGGGAAGACAAACAGTGCATATGTGTGGTAGGAGGAAGGGAGGAAGACTGAATGCAATAAACTGGGAATAACAGGAAAGCGAATAGGTAATGTCACTGTAACCTTTCACATTGCACTTCAGTCAAAATAAATTTTAAAAATTACATATATATGTGAGTGTTACATAAAGCTACAAGATTAACTACCATTATTTTCTAATCAGACTTGCAAAGCCAAAAAAAATGGGGTTAGCAAAAAGAAACAAACAAACAAAAGGCCTTAAAAAAAAACTGAAGGTACATGTAGCATATTCTTTTGGATATCTTTCTCAGTACATCAAACTGAGAAAATTATAATAAAAAAATCAGTGATTCAATTTTTATTGGGAAATTAGCTTTACTCTAAACAATCTTTCCCGGAAGTGTAATTTTTCAGAGTATTTTTATTTGTGATTAGTTAAATAATTAAAGCCCTCAGCATATAAAAATTTTATAATCTGGGCTTTACAGACATGCAATCTAACTTATTTTTAAAAATTGTGTTTCTAATGTTTATTTGTTTATTATACATTTGCTATGTGGAACATATATTCAAAGAAAAATATTTCAAATGGTGGTTAGGACTTTAGGCCAACACATTTAACCTGAAGCACTGCCAATATGTGATAAAAATAAATAGAAAATACTGTCAGTTTTAAAATAGATTTAAAATTATCCATGTACATTTTAAAATAGAGTCAGGGCCTATAATGCTTTCTGTATGACTCTCTCAGTCCTAAGTTTACACTCACATTGAAGATACAGGAGCCAAGAGATGACTGTGGACAAAATCTCCATCAAAAGCAGACAGGTCCCAGGAGGAATTTTATGACTTCAAACATAGAGGAGCAATGGGGACTAAGCAGTCTTAAACCTGGCTCTAATGTTTACTCCTCCAGCTCTAACCAATTTATTGCCTCAACCATCAATAACAAAGAGAAGAAAGGCTGTCCTCTCAATGGAACAGGGGACTGAGGTGAACCCCATGGCTAGGAAAGGGACAGAAGAATGAAGGAAAGAAGGGTGCAAAGGAATGCAGTAAGACTGACTGGATAAGACAGAGAGTTCTGAGAGCAAGTACTGTGCTCAATCATCTTCATATTCCCTGAACTTTGCACAATTTCTCAAACAGCAGGCGCTGAAAAAATATTTGTTGATGAAGGCAAACAGGAAGAAGAAACGGACAAAGAAAGGAAAGCAAAGGAAAAAAGAAGCTTCTATAATAGTAAGATCAAAAGGACTGGATCCTTACTGGCCAAGGAATGCCATTCATGTAAGTTTGACACAATTAAGTCAAAGATTACCTGTGTAAGTCATTTAAAAGGCCCTGGAAGAATAAATCCTATGAACAAAAGTATCAAGTTGAAGCTGGAACAATGGGCAATAAACCCTATTTTTCTTTTCATCATTCTGGGTAGAAATTCAAACATTTGCTCTGAATACAATGCGCAGTCCCATACATATGAAATTCTATAATGATCTTCTGTTTTTTACTCATTTTAAAATCAAAGAAAAAATACTCACTTACTGAAACTATGTAAAAACATCCCCCAAATAGGCACCGAAACGGACTAAAAGAAAATATAGCAAAGTGCCAATAGCAGTTTTAGTGAGTGACTAGATTATGGGTTATTTTCTTCTACTTTTCTGCATTTTTCAAATGTTTGTAATTAATATCTATTAATTTTACAATAGAAAAGGGAACACTTTAGTTTGAAATATAAGGAAAATTTAGCATATCAATTAATTTGGCAAGATATGATTTTTATATTCACTTATGCTAGTCAAGCTAATATTTATGAGGATAAATAGATGATAACGAATTTTACTATTTCACTAAAACAAAATATTTCATTTGGGATGAAGACTGTTGAGTGAATTGACAAAGTATACACATTATGGGTTAAAGAAGAACAGCACATGTAATTAAAGAATTTCTGAAATGATACTTCAAAAAGTTCTTAAAACTATCTTTATTCTCTAGGTTTAAACATAAAAATGGAATCCATACATATTTAGATCTCTAGATCTGTGAAACAATGAAAACAACTAATTCTTAGAAAAGTAGTCATTCAAATTACTAATTTTTAAGGCATCATGATGGCTTAAGAAAAAACAAGAAAGTAACAGTTAACTTTATGGACTTTTACTTCTAAATGACATTCCTCCTAAAAGGAAAATCCACTGTCCTGGCATATTCTATTCAGAAGTCTTAAAATGACACCCTAATTCCTTTGTGCTACATATCCTTCTGGTTGTCTATGTCACAAAAATAATTTTCACTATAAAATGCCTAAAATAGGTTTCATATCCAGATGACATCATATCTTAATTTCTAGGAATATCTAGAAGATCCATAGGGCTATTGATTCTCAGGACATTTAGTCGAAGAATTTAAGAATGATATGACTAGAAATGTTTAAATATTGAGTAGTTTTTTAAAAAATGGTTTTGCTTTCTTAATGGAGAAACTCCAACTGTTATATAACATTTTAATTATATAAAAATGCTATTTCCATTTGAGGGTCAATAAGCTGCTGTACACACATATCTGAGAGTATATTTTCCATAATTTAGAATTACATAAATTTATTGCACATTAGATCAAAGACTATATATACCTTATCTCTCAAAACATTTCTAAATTTCTTTCATGTTTCTAACATCTTTCATGTTGAAGAATATAGGACTTTAGCTTGAGATCCTCCTAACTGTTTTCAAAGGCTGATTTTCTACATATTTACATGTGGTTTTATCCTTTCCTCGATTTAGTTCTTATAAATTCAAAATTTAAACTTCTTCCATCATTTCCACATGCTAGTGTCAAATATTTTTCCATTACCTAAGAAGCTGGACAATTCTTCTGCTGCTTGATGAGTTTCTGTTCCATGAATTATTTCATGAGAGATTTTGTCTTGACAAATGTTATTATACTTTCCCTGGGTAACCTCAAATCATTTCTAAGATACATCTATCATACAAAAGCAGAAGCAGAAAAGATGTAGGTCAAGATATCTCTTTAACAGCAACTGCAAATCATGTGTGTTGACTAAACCTAAGTCAAAATTTTATTTGTTCTTCCTTTGAACCTTTAACATTTATTTCAGTATAAAAATGAAAATCTCTCTTCTGGAACTTAAAAAAAATTTTTTTCCATTAAAGCCCAAATAAACACATACCTGTATTTAATGATATAATGAGTCTTTTAGATCTGTGCTACTATGTTTCAGACCATTATTCTACAGGTAATACTTCTATAAATATGTTCTAGAATTCTGGACTCTGCTAATGGTAACATTTTAGGAAAGGGTATATCTTGTTTTCTTTTAGATCATTTTCTAATCTGCACTTTCTAAAAATGAAAAACATTTAAATGTGCATTTTTATTTAACTATATCAGCCCAAATGAGTTTTAAATGAGAGTAGAGAAGAAAGTAGTATAGAATAATTATTGCTTAAATGGTAGATATTACTTTAAAAATGTACTGAGGGAATATTTATGGATAGTTTAACATACATTAAAAATATTGCTTATAATACTCAACCAGATTTTTAACTTAAAAGATAACAATGATGTCATCAAGTCGTAAACCAATTGCAAGTTTCACCATCACTTTTTGTGACAACATGAAATTGTAGGAGATTCCAGATCAACTAAAGGACCATACTCTGTCTCCCAAAATAGTAATCTCTCAAAGTCCAGTGGGTTAAATTTTATCAAACTACGTTGAATACGCTGTAGGAAAATCTAATCAAAAAGTCCAGCAATTAAATATTACAATAAAAGTACTAAAGGAATTAAAAAGTTGAAAATAAGTCATAGTATTCTGTACTATAGCAGTGAATATTATATAATATAGCTATTGAAATATATTTAGTGAATGCTGTAAACAAGCAGAGATGAATGAAAACTCAAATGTGTACCATGATCCTGTTCTATCACCCTTCAAACACATAACCCAGAATCACAGGAAAAAAAAATTAGTGCTATGTTTATTTTTTTTAAAAAATCCTGAATCAGCACAATGAAAAAGCTTAAAATAAATACAGGAATCTAAATGATGAGAATGAAACCATCAATTTAGGTTTTTGTTTTCATCAAATAAAAGAAAACAGAAAAATAAGGTCTAAAATCCTCACAGAACTGGAAATGGATTGAACCATATGAGACAAAGTGAAAGAGAACACAAACTAGCACTTTGTGAATGTTTTGAGTTGTTTTAGCTAGAGCTATTACATTGCTAATTATTTCTAGGAGTAAGAATACTTTAAAATTCTTTTAAAATATAAATCCATTTGAAATTTAGAAGTTATTTCAAAACAGATTATTTTCATTTTCTACTACTTAATCATACCCATAATAATATACCTATTGCTAAAATCTATTGATATTTTATTTTTTTCTCTAGTGAAACTTGGTAATTTTAAGTTAAAATTTTCACATATTTCAATGATAAAATTAATATCTTTGCTTTATATGCAAACTTGAGCTGAGCAATTAAGAAAAATGGGGAATGATTTTTTTTTTTTGTTTTGCATAATGGTGATAGAACTTTAAAAAAATGTGAATACCAACCCATTTCCTGCTTTTGAGTTGCCTTTGTTGTCCGTGGTAAGCTGAGAAAGCACATAGTGAGGTGCTTTGGCACTGTCGGCATCAAATATATCCATATTAGATTCTTCACAATCTCGTCGTTTGACCCCCGGCCTCTGCTTTGGATTTCGTTTTCGTGATTTACGAGGTACCTCAGTGTTATCATTGTAGGAACTGGTGCTCATGTTACTGAAGTTGGAGGGGGAATCCTCCATCCACATACTGCAGCTCTGCTCAGATTCCAATCCACACCCCTCATCCTGGCAGGACATCCGACTGTTATCCAGCAAGTCCTCAGGTGGTGGTGAGATGTACAAGACTGTGTGCCTCTTCGGTGTTGATGGATGCTGCTGAACTGTGTTACTGGTTAACTGCTTTTCACTTACCCCTCTGTTACTTACCCCCAAGGCTGAGGAGCAGCTCTCCACTTGCATAGCCTTGCTGTCGGTGACTGAGGTAGAATAAATGGTAGGGCTGGAAGAGGTGGTAAAGGAGCTGCAAGCACCGCCCATGGAGGAAGAGGAGGGAGCTGAAGAAGCATCTGCAGTGTACAATTTAAGAGTAAATACACTATACATGTTTTCACCTATGCTGGCTAGCAGTCCCATTGAAAATGTGATTTGTGAACTGATTGTTTTTCCCCAAAATGAATAGTTGGAATTTGGTTGTTTTAGAATATAAATGCTTCAAGCAATACAAGGCCTAAGAAATGCAATTTTTAAAAATGCCCAAATAGCATTATTTTACTTGTGCTATAGTTGATAGATTTTTAAAAAATCTAATTTAATGTTTTAAGCTGTAAAGCAAGAATAAAGCTTTTATTGCCTCAGCTGAATGTTCTGTTGAATTTTTAATCATTTAAAATAATAAAACCCCAATATGAAATATATGCTTGTAGTCCACATTCAATGCCAATTAGATAATTCATTATAAAATTTGAAAAGTGGGACTGTGCTTAGCCACAAAATATTAAAATAAGTTTCTAACCTATGAAGCAGAGAACTACAGGTCATTTTTAATGCAGACACTCCCTGCTTCAGAGGCAAATCCTGGAATAAAAATATGAGAAAATAAATGAGAAAAGAGCTGCTGATTATTCCAGATATCAATTATAAAATGAGAAATAAATAGAAAAAAATATATAATCAACTGAATTGGAGGCAAAATGGAACTGGTACCCTCACTATGATTGTGTAAAATCTAGAAGAATAAAAGTGAAAAAGGTTTGATTTGGAACATGCTGGGCTGTAGAAGATAAGCAAGTTAACCACTGAGGATCTCCAGAAGTTGGAAGTGGCAGTTCAAAACATGATCTCTAAAATAAATAAATCCACCCTTTATGGCAGAATGAAAAGTGGAGTAAGGACTGATTATTGAATGGATTTCTCTTATAAAGTACTTGATTACACACTCAGCAATTGGTTCCACTGTCCATTTCCTCTCTTTAAAGGGCCTGCTTGATTTTAACTATTAAGGAAATTTCCTAATATGAGTAACAGTAAATTTTACTAGATGAAATTGAATAAAAAGAGTTAAGCAGAAAAAAATCTCTGGAGAGCACCAGAATTAGTTCCTATAAAAAGATTTTTTATAAAACCATTCATCTATTACACCTAGCACAAATAATGTAAGCAGATTTTTTCAAAATGTGTGGCAACTGGCAGAACAGCTCACTGAAAAATAATAAGACTTTAACCCTTAACCGCGTAACCTCAGAGGCACACTACTGATGATAAGATTCAAGTTGTCAGTCTTAAAATTTTAGAAATACCATTATATCTTGTATAAGATATGGAAAGGTTTATAATCATACACACAAAAAAATAAAAATAGGTAACATATGACAGGTAACTAAAAGATATGTTTAAATCTAAAATTAATTTTTATCTATAGCCAAGTATGCCACTGTTTTAAAGTAGTATGATAAAACTTAAAACTGTGATGTGCAGTTATGGGAATTGTAACATTCATATCAATTATAATATAAAGAGTGAAATGTAAGAATGCCAATGTTTAGATAAACCAAAAGCCAAGTGCCAAAGATCTATTTTTAAATTGAAAACATGTACCAAAACACTTAAATCATTTGAAAGAACTAAATTCATCCATAATTTTTCATTGCTGTCAAAGCTGAAGAGCACAGTAATTAATATTAGCCATTAATAATGTGATCTACATAATGCCCCATGGAAAGATTTTTAAGAGTTAAAGAACCTAGAGAAATTAGATGATACCAGTTCCATTTTCCAGTTTGTATCCTTGACAAATGCAGTAGCTGAAATTGGAAAATTCAGTCACTTTAAACTGCATTCCAATTTAAAGAAAAATTTATCAGTTTTGTATCATGCATTAATGCAATGTTTTCTTAGTAAATAAATATTTTAAAAGATATGTAAAAACTACAAAATCTAGATGCTAATGTCAGTGACAGTTTAGGAGCTGATTTGTAGCCACTTTGGGTTTAAGTAACAAGTTTTTTCCTTATTTTTTGGAAAACACTATAGAATTCATTTTAGAAAAAAACAGAAAAGGTATTATGTCTAACATTCCTCCATCTGTTCCAACTACTGGCAAAAGTGAAACTAAATTTGTGTGTGTGTATGAGCCTGTTCTTCATGTTCAGAGAAATACAAGTATGCAGCATGCAATATTTGCAGTGGAACACACAAAGCATGCAGCATGAATGCTGTGAACTTGTATTTCTATAAAGCAGCTCTCCCCCCGCAACCCTTTTTGAATTTAAGTACCATGCACATGAGAATGCAGAATATGAACATCTCAGGGATCCCTGTCCATGACAGATGGAAAATACAGGTGAAAAAGCAATCATGAACTCAAAAGCAAGTTATGTGGTATTTATGAATTTAATATGCAAGATATAACCTAACATTGCTCTTTGAGGTATATATGATTTTATCAAGGAAATCTTATCAAAATGATCATGGTTACAAAACCCAATTGATATAATCATAAACAAATGTTTGTTCTGGGACAGGTATACCAAACTGTGATCTCATACCCTACATAAATCAAAATATTCCATACATTTTCCTTGGATACCTAACATACAATTTTTATATTTTACCTGCAGTTTCCTGGATATACTTATTAAGTAAAAAAGTTCATTAGCACAAAACTATGAGACTGAAAACATAAACTCTGTCAGAAGACAGCAATAAGTACCCTTTAATTAAAAAATATTACTTTTTGAAGCCTACCTCAGTTTGATCCTAAATTACAAAGATTTTACTTATTTTAAGACTATAACAAGACAATTTTTTTAAACTATAAAATTTTTTACAATAGTATCATTGTTACTCTGATGATGATGATAATGGTGTATACAATCCTTCACATAAAGATGTTATATTCTGGTTAGCAAGACATCACCTAAGTGCATTAGTAATGCCAGGCGATGTGGTGAAGTGGAGGATAAAAACTATGGGCCCTTTGAGAGCATGGACAATGTCTTTCTCATCTTAGACCCTCCCAACACCTAACATAGTACCTTGCATGTAGTAAAAATTCAAATTTTTCATTAAATTGATTTACAAGAAGCCAATATCTGATACGTATGTTGAATTATATTAAAGCTAAATTGGCAAATAAATGTACCAATGTATCCATAATGGATACATCAGGTCTAAAAAAAAATTTTACTACTCAAAGTGCTTAGAATATATATCACTATAATAGTATTATCTGATACAGGAAAGGATTAGAAGTGTGACTATTCCCTATTTCCACAAAGAGTGATCTATTAACTTTCTTTCTTGAAATTATATTAAAGCCAAATTAAGCAACTTGTGAATTAATTCATAAATTTACTATGAAAAAAAGTCCTTAAAACTATCTATTAAAAAATAAATGCATAAAAATAACATCAAAAATATTTTAGATTTTTCAACACTAATGTGTCATTTCCAAGCATTCCCAGAAAAGCACTACAGGGCTGGCCCCATGGCTTGGTGGTTAAGTGCGCGTGCTCCGATGCTGGTGGCCCGGGTTCGGATCCCGGGTGCACACCGAGGCACCACTTCTCCGTCCATCCTGAGGCCGAGTCCCACATACAGCAACTAGAGGGATGTGCAGCTATGACATACAACTATCTACTGGGGCTTTGGGGGGAAAAAATAAATAAATAAAATCTTTAAAAAAAAAAAAAAGAAAAGCACTACAGAACATTCCTGGGAATACTGTAAATGTACTTAAAACATCTACAAAGACCTTTCAGTCACTATATCATTAAATATTAAGAAAGAGCTTAACTGACATTGTATAGAAATGTTTGCAATCCTGCCTCATCTATATTTTCTTTTTTATTTATAAGTTCTTATAAATAAAATATGCTAACTACTTCTCCATTTTTTTGGTTTTGAGTCTCCATTTTTATCTATTAAGAATGTAGAAATTATATTTATTTGCTGCATATTAAAAATACAAAAATTCCAACATAAAAATGTTTTAATAATTGCTTTTATCTTCTCACTGAGCAGAATAGTCATAATGTATTTCTATTTTATAACTTTATAATTTATTTGTTCTTTAAATCCCTTACCAATCCTTTGTAAAGTTGGAAGTTTTTCTTAAATATTTTCTTAAAATTATTCTCTCACCTAAGTAACATGTGAATAAATTTTTATTGATTTTTTTCTTTTACGAAAGAATTATTTTTGAATCGAGAAGAATTTTACTGTTCCATAGCATTTTCTGTGACCACAGAGAGAACAGCAAACCAAAGAGAAAACTGATAGATCATTTCTCCAATTTACTAATGGAAATGTATAATCTCAAAAGAATAGATTAATTCTAAAATTTATAAGTGAAGGGAAGCATCACATCTATAGTGTTCTGTATCTAAGTCTAAAACTTGTATTATTAGCAGTAGCCAATTATTAGACCAAATGTCCGTAATAATGGTGAACTTAAATTGTATACATGGTTTCTTTTAAGAATTGATGAAATCATTAAGGTTCATTATGAATATTCAAAGTAGTTGGGATAAAAAGAGTGGCAGGTAATATCTACATGGATATCCTAGAATTTGCAAGTATTATTAATTTGATGAGATGAAAATGGATTTTTTAAATGGTACCACATATAGAAACCTGTGTAGATTTTATATACTCCTTGCTTAAACTATATTTTAAATTTAACAACTATTAGTTCTAGATATGCGAACTAGAAATTACTTTAATTACCATTTCATTTTAGTGCTTAAATATCATAAAAAAGAGATGATACTTTATATGGAACTACCTAAACTTTTTATAGAAAGCTCTGATATTAGAAACATTCCTTAAAGTCTTCAAAGAAATAACTACCTTTCACTGATTTAAAATATATGACAGAAGTGACATTTAACTAAGCTTCCAAGATAAAAATGTGATCCCTAGCATTTCAATATGCACATACAGTTTATAACTTTTCAACATCAGTGCAAAGTCAGTTGAGTTTCCTAAAAAAGCCATTAAAACAAAAGCCATAAAATTTTGCAAATGTGCTAAATGAACCAATAGTGGAACGGAGAAGGAGTAAACT